ATCTCTATATTTATTAATACAATACTTAATAATAATTATACATGCGTAGCAGAAATCTAACTTATATCTAGAGATAGTTGTACCTACTCTCTTAATATCTGCTAGATCTTAATCTATGTTTAAAAGGTGCTGTCAGAATATGGGCATATTTTGGGTGGGGGACAAAATCCGGGTGTTCGGAGCTGTGGATTCTGTGGATCAGTTAAATTAGTCAGCACGCACAATCCACCGCGACCCAACTGATCGAACAGCGTTGGACAACAGAACAACACGACATCAGACCAGAACAATACAATCGATCCCCATCATATTATTATACTACTATCCCCGTCTTTGATAACCCATCACAATCTGACAGGTGCTAAGCTATATAGTAGTACATACCTAGTAGAATAACCTTTCTACTTACTCTACTTAACTCTTAGAAGTCTTATACTAGGGCAGCTTCCCTCTAGAATAAGAGCTCTTTAAGTAGCTGTCGCTCCCTAGGCTAAAGATCTAGTAATATCTTTATTTCCTTAAGCTATTTAAGCGTAACTCTCGTACCCCTTAGGAAATCTGCATAGCGAGGCTTAAAGTATTAAGCGAAAGGTGCTTAGACATAGTTAGCGTTAGGCACTTGCTCAGCTTTAGCCTTCTTCTTCTAGTCTAAGCAGCTTTTAACTTTTAATAGTACTTATCCTAAGTTATCTATAGGTTCTACCTTCTGCCCCTTACGCTTATATATACTATTTACCTTAGAGTGTCTCTTCTCTTTCGAAGCTTCGCTCGGCTTTAGCTTTACTCTTGTCACGACTTTAATAGGTATACCTATCTTATTCTTCTAAATATTACTTAGCTGCTCTTTCTACACTATATCTATAGCTCGCTTCTTATACTCGCAGCTACTAAGTGCGCCTACTACTTCTAAGAGAATATTATCTAAAAGCAACTTAGCGCACTTGTTTACTACGCTAAATAACCCCTTCTTATCCTTTACTACTATCGTACTATCTAGGCCTTTGCCTAGAAAGGTGTTTAGGCCTTAGTAAAAGTACTTCTACTCGCTAGGTGCTCTTAGCTTCTTAAGCCGCTTTGTTTTCAGCTACTTCGTTACTAGCTTTATCTTCTCTCCTTCTCTTTCTGTCCCCGTCATCCCTATACGTGCCTGTACTAAGCTTATATACCCTATTAATCTATACTTAGCTAGCTATTTACGATTAGCTAGAGGGAGTGTTAAGCTAGCTATTACACTCCCCTAGCGTTTCCTAATGTCGGGCCCGCATAGGCTCCTAGGGCCTTAACCTAATTACCTCTCGCATACACAAACCTTGTGTTGAACTCCCTATCTTCGCTAAATATACGATAGTAGGCTAGACTATTAGTAGCTGTCGCAGAAATATATATATTCTTTAGCCGGAACGCTCAAAGATTAGTCTTTTGCGTTTCGACAGTTATGAGCCCGGTGTCCGGTTTCCGCTGCCTAAGCTACTAGTTTTCGGATGTCTGCCTAGGTGGGTGACATTGCACTGTTGCGATAGGAGTGTGCGGATTGGAGGCAGGAGCGTACGGGTTAAGAGCAGGAGCGCATGGGTCAGAGGCAGGAGTGTCAAGGGGACCACGGTGGTTACCGTGACAGCTGCTACCTCTACTAATATGTTAAACTAAGCTTAAGGACTACCTAATAGGAGAACTATTTAAAAAATGTAAAATAGTTCTATCTAGGGAGCTATTATTAGATAAACTTATAGACAGAGATCCCTATAAAGAAGATTGTCGCGGAAATGGACTTGATGTTGGACGTCGGATGATCACGTGATCGGATCTTTGAGACTCCGGATCCGTGCCAAAGGACTGATCCATCATGTACGAATACCGGACTAGCCCTCTGATCTTTATAATCCTTAGAGCAATCAATAATCCCACTCTTGAGCGAATCTGATCGGTGTCATCCCAACAACCACACTAGTAATAATATTATCGCGTTGTTGAAATGCGTCGCTTTGAAGTTGCAAAGGTTGGTGGGGTGACCGATTCGCTTGCCTGACCGACTCGCTTGTCAACTATGTTAGAAAGAGTAAACTTAATTCTACTTTCTTAGTTAAATAAATGCGCGTTTTATTGTTGAGACATATCGTGCTAATGAGGGAGTAGGTAGTCTTGGCAGAAATTGATCCACTCGATGAGTTGATCCACTCGATGATAGAATACGTTATACTTTTCATTTTTGTTTCCCTAGTGTAACTGTACCTAACACTGGATAGGTTCCTTTCTCCGCAGTTCGCATACGCGCATCTGTAGCCGTCTTTCTACTAGGTTAAGGGCATCGAAGTGGCGCAGTGACGATCGAAACGCAAAGGATCTAGATACTTGCTCGCTTAGCTCCAAGTACGCCGCACTCTTCAGCTTTCCCCCAACCGGACGAAAGAAATCACTCAACGAGTGGACCTTTCTAGGGTGCCGGTTGATCGTAGCGAGTTCGCGTGTCTTTCCACACAGGTTTGAGGGGGAACGAGCATCATGGAGTCCTCGATTCCAGTGACCAAACGAAGAACAAACAACCGCCACCGTTAGTCTCCAGGACTAGGACGATGGTCACAAAGAGTGAGAGACGTTATCTTCATCGTTGTGTTCGCGCCTTTACCTCGGATTTTACAAGACCTCCAAAGAGAACCGCGGCACTCATCCAAATGTACCGTTTGATCTTCGTACACAATCTCGGGTTGTATCCATGTCATCGCACACTTTGGATGAAACATCGCCAATCGCAATTTGAAGAATGCAAGGGGCTCGCGTTTTCGGAAAATAATCAAAGTGCCGGCAAAAAAGATGGGGTACTTATTCGGCCCGGTCAGGGGTTTGACCAGCTAGAGTGCTGATCTATTTCGTCATGTCAGGGATCCATTTCGGCTGGCGACGAAAGCAGAACGAATAAATCCGCAACAAGGCCGAGCCGTGCGTACGTCCGTATCTGTTGCGATACTCTCTCTTATACCCTCAGGTCTTCCTTGGTAATAATTCATCGCGCGATACCCTTTTGCTAAACACACTCGTTTATTCTGTTCTGTGTCATTCGTTATCACCATGCATCTTCAAAAGCATCCGCTCGTTACTGTACTTTTGACAGCTTCATTAAGCCTCCCCCAGACTCATGCCGCCCCAATACTAGACTCCCTCGTCAACCCTTTTCTCGAATCGCTGAGTTCAATACTGAAGCGGTAAGGGGCTAGTCCAAGGTGTACTTGGTTCTGTAGAAGGCGTTGTTGGGGTGGAGAAGACTTATGATTATGTTGTCGTGGGTGGTGGCACCGCTGGTAATGCGATTGGTGTGCGCCTTGTCGAAGCGGGTTACTCGGTTGCGATCATTGAGGCTGGGCTTTACTACCAGATTGGAAAGCCTGTTCTAGGTTCAACGCCTGCTGGTGGAATTGTGGGGATTGGAGCCAATCCTCTGGACTCTGATCCCATCGTTGATTGGGTGTTGATGACGGAACCTCAAGCAGGCGCGGATAATAGACGAGTGCATTATACCCAGGGAAAATGCCTGGGTGGATCGTAAGAATACGCTTGGTCGGGACCTTCAGAAGACTCCACTAACGTAATGATTTATGCAGTTCCGCGCTCAACTTCTTAATCCACCACAGGTAAGCAGAGTTGTCTTTGCCAACAAAGACCATCCACTGATCTTTTCTCCAGAGGTACTGAAGGGTCATACCAAACCTGGGCCGACGCTGTAGGCGACGACAGTTACACGTTCGCCAACTTCGAACCTTACTTCAAGAAGGCAGTCAGCTTCACCGAACCGAACAATGCCATACGCGGCGACAATGTCACTACCCAGTACGAAAAGAGCGCCTTTGAGAGCCCAGGAGGACCTATCCAGATCGGGTATTCGAATTATGTTTCCCCCTTCTCGACGTGGATGGAGAAGGCCCTTCTAGCCCTTGGCTTGAAGAAGACAAGCCAATTCGACAGTGGTAAACTGATGGGAACGCACTACACCCAAACCTTCATCCGCGCTAAGGATCAGACACGCAGTGCATCGGACGAATACATCCGGACAGCGCTCGACAACGAGAAGCTTGCCGTGTACGCAAACACCCAAGCCCAAAAGATCCTATTCAATGGCAACAAGACATCGACCGGTGTCAGAGTTCAGTCAGCAGGCATAACCTACGACATTCACGCCGCGAAGGAAGTCATTGTCTCGGCTGGCGCCTTTCACAGCCCCCAGCTACTCATGGTATCGGGTGTTGGTCCTAGGGAGACGTTGCAAAAGTTCAACATCGACGTGGTTGCCGATCGCCCTGGCGTCGGCCAGAACATGTGGGATCACATTATGTTCGGGCCAGCCTACGAAGTCAACTTCAACACGCTCGACAACACGCTTCACAACCCCGTCGCGCTGGCCGATGCTCTGACTGACTACATTACGAAAGGCCAAGGCATTCTTTCATCCAACGTCGTCGAATTCCTCGGCTGGGAAAAGCTGCCCGAAGAATTCCGCAAGAACTTCTCTCAATCCACCGTCGAAGCCTTGAACCAATTCACCGACGATTGGCCAGAAGCTGAGGTAAGTTCTCACCATCCTTGATGGTAACGATGATAACAATGGGCGAATACTAGCCGCTAACCCCTCGATAGCTCATCAGCGGAAACGGCTACATCGGCGACTTTTCCCTCCCCGCCCTCCAACAACCCCTTGATGGCAAGCAGTACGCCACAATCCTCGGCGGCATCGTGGCCCCCACCTCCCGGGGCAACGTAACCCTGCAATCGGCCTCCATGACCAGCGCGCCTCTGATCAACCCGAACTGGCTCACCTCGCGCGCCGACCAAGAACTCGCCATTGCCCTCTACCGCCGCATGCGCCAGATCTGGGCCTCGGAGACCATGCAGCAAGTCGTCATCGGCGACGAATACTGGCCCGGCAAGGAAAAAGATAGCGATGAGGAGATCTTGGCCGTAGTGAGAGACAGTCTGATGACCATCTGGCATGCGTCTTGCACGTGTAAGATGGGCAAGAAAGAGGACAGCATGGCAGTGGTCGATCCCCAGGCGAGGGTTTATGGGGTCCAGGGCTTGAGGGTTGTGGATGCGAGTGCGTTGCCAATCTTGCCGCCGGGTCACCCTACTAGCACAATTTGTAAGTTTTTCGATGAGAAGCTTACGCGTCTCTGTATGGATGTTTGCTAATCTTTGTTTAGATGCGCTTGCAGAGAAGATTGCCGCTGGAATTATCAACGCTAACAAGCAATGAGAGCTGCACGGCAGTAAGAACTGGAGAAAGCTGCGGATAGGAAACGATGCTAAGCATCCCTCTTGACATTGCGGAAGATGGACTTGAGGTTGCACGCTCGGGTAAGACGGCTAACTTGTGAGACTATTTTCTTTCGGTTCCTTTCTTAATGTGTATTCATAATGAAGCGAAACAATCAACTTGTTCATCCCGTTGAAACATGACCAGACATGAGCATCCTGGTGAAATAAATCAAAATGCTTGTGAATCAGTGCAAAATCGAAGAGGTTATGATCGCAAACATGAACCAGACATATATTAAAGTCTCTGAGAACGTATAGAGTTCATAAGTCAGATAGGCTCCCAGGATGAAAGAGAAAAGTAATACACATTACGTATTATGTATGTCTAAGACATCCTCCAACCAAATTTACAGAACTACCTTGATCGTCTTGCCTATACTAGGTGTACCAGCAGAGTCGATCGCGAACAGCAGCCAGTAACCTGGAAGTGCGACTCCCGGGTCGCCAGGAATTGTCACTGTATAGCTCGTGTCACTTCCTGATGAATCCAATGAGATCCTTCTCTGATCTGTATTAACGGTATGGGTAGCGGTACCAAATCTGACAAGCGAGAATTTGGCGACAGATCCCGTCGTCGAAATGCTCAGAATTTCGCCCAGTCTGACGCTAGAAGCTACAGTGCTTATTTCAGGACGTGTCCGCCGTGTCCCGTCGTCGTTGAGTAGGTAGGGTGGCACAAAGATTTCCGCGTCGAAGTGGTTCCTCTCCGATACACCACCGCAACCACCGCACAAGCCACCGCCGCCGCTGAATACAGTAGCATCCGGCATGAGGATGGCTACTGAGTGGTATGTCCTCGGAATTCGCATAGGGTTGAGTTGCGTCCACTTCCCGGTAGTGGGATCCCATAGCTCCGGAGTGAGTTGTGCCGTGTCGTCGATGAAGGGCCGGAGTCGTGATTGCCCACCAGTGACGAAGACTGTCCCGTCGGGTAGCACAACACTATTCGCAAAGCCTCGCCCATATGCCATGGACTCGGTTTTAGTGACAGTTGGGTTTGTCTTCGGCGCACCAATCGTGATAACGTAGGCATTTGTGCGTCCATCACTGAAAGAAAACAACGTCAGAACAGTTGCAACTCAAGATCGGCAGGTTGGAATTCATACCTGTTCTCGTAGTCGGACGCCCCACCTGCGGTGAGTATCTTTCCAGCTGTGGCGTCGAACATGACTGCATTTCCGTTCATCGCATGCCCATCATCCAGCCGATTACCGGCACCCGTGGTGCTTCCAGATCCGACTGTTTCGTACCAGTTCATGGCAATTGAAGGACCGGCTTGAAATACAGTCTGGTTCTTCCATCTGTAGTTGGTCAGGAAACAAGTAGAGGTTGGGAAAGGCGTTGAAATTACCCAAAGAGCCAACCGTGGTTATCCGAACGGTATACGCCTCCACTATCAGCTGTAAGCATAGGGCTGACAAGAGCGTTTTGTAGCAGAGCCCAAGTATTCTCGGTAGTGCTGTATATCTCCCCATCCTTGCCGCCTCTGTTCCCGCTCCATGAGCCACCGATGTTGAAGATACGTCCGTCGGAGCATGTGGTGGTAGATTGATATCCCCGAGCAATCCGCATGTCGCTTCCCGCTGTCCAAGTGTCGCTAGAAGGGTCATAGATGCTGGTCTTTGCAGCGTTACTGCCTCCCGTGACGACTACACGGCCGTCAAAATCCAGAGAAATGCCTGGGCAGAACATGTCGTGCTGTGTATTGGATACCTGAAGCTGAGATGACTCGCCCGTAGCAGGGTCATAGGTTCCTGTTTGGGTAAAGCCTCTCGATCCGCCAAAGCTATCCTTCGCAAAGGCCGACCACATCAGCACTTTTCCGTTGGGGAGCAATGATACGGCTGTTGGTACGAGCGGGAAATCCACCGTCTTCTCCCATGAGCCTTTGCCTGCTGCTGGCGGAGTGTATTCTGTATCCTGGAAGATGTTTATCTCAGCAATGGTAGTGAATTGGTTTGCAGCACTTTGAGCCTCCGAGGTAGCTGTAATTTTCACATATCGTCCTCGTCTCACAACGAAAGAAGTGGTCTTCGTTGTCGCATCATTGTTGTAAGTGCCGACAGCTGCGACTTGCCAGCTTGTGTTGTCGGTACTAACTTCAATCCTGTGTCCCCCAATCCTGCCATTGGCGCTGTCGCTCGGGCGTTGCTGGAGGCTAATGGCGTTGATGTTATAGGACTCTTTCATATCCACAACAATCCAATGCGGTAGAGTGTCGGCAGGCGTTGGAAAAAACTTGGATTGCCAGAACGTGGCTGCATCCCCATCAAGCGCTTTAGAAGGCTCATAATCAGCTTGGAAACTGTCCGAGGTTGCCGTCCATCCTGAACGGCTGATAGCAACAGAGGCAGAGTCGGCCAAAAGCGCTAGGGCGAGAATTGTGACGGGAATCGCTACCAGACGTGTATTAAAGCTCATAACTAAGTCTTGAAAAGTGCAACAAAGGCGTTGCTGCTGATGTGAATCTTCCCGTAAGGGAAGCCTTGAACTTATACTCGTTAACAAGGTTCTGGTGTCATGTCAGCTTCCAAGACGCCGAAACTCTGTACACATCCTTTCCTCAAGCATAACCATTCGTCTCGTACTCGCAAGCTGTCAATGATGCGCTCAAAGCTTAGCCTACTTAGCTTACAATAGCAATTTCTATGGCCAACGTGGAACCTCCCGTCCACATGAAGCTAAGAATAGACATGAGGAAGACATTGCCGATTTACATGGCTGACGGACATAAGCCACTGCGTATGCAAAGAATCGGTTCACGAAAAGAGTATCATCTATTGACTACAGTAACTTTGCAGGGTGGGCCCGAAGGTTTTTGCTCAAGACTGCCCAGGTGATCGACGGTGTAGACTGCAAGGAGGTAACTATATTGGGCTGCATACGGTACTAGCCGCATGTCGGAACACCTAGGAACGAACACCACATGATCGCGCCGGGTGTTCGGATATCGTATTGATTATGTGAATCATACAGTCGCGAAATACCACCTACCATTTGAATAAGCAGGCGCAAAGTCCAATATTTGATACATGCAGGACCATCTCGGCTGAACATCACGGCAACTACGAGTGAGGCGAGATTCGGGTAGGATCGGTGACTGAGATCATGCATGACCGCCGCCAATTCTCCAATAAACCTTCAAACCGCTAAGCCCGTATTTTAGTCTTGTCAATCTGTCGTCCCAAATACCAAGGCTATTATTGAAGTAGTATGGTCAAATAACAGTATGAAATATGATATGACCTATTTTCGAAAAAAACCCCAAGAAAACCGCTACCAAATACCTACACAACAGTACCATTCCTTGCACCACCACTACTACTACCACCACCACCACTAAAATACGCACAATGAATCCGATACTCGCTCGTCTCCGCGCCGAATCCTTCCAACGCAACAGCATCAATCGTCCTCAGCGAAAACGTACTAATATTCATAGCCGTGTAATCTCTCAGCGGGATCCTCAGCGTAACCGGACTACCATTCATAGCGCCATACGCCGTACTCGGCACGCTTAGCCTCTGAATCAACGCAGAGCCGGGACATGCCGTACCACCACTCTGCAACTGCACATTGAACGTCGCACCCGTCTTAGCCGTGACGTTCAAGACAAGGAACTCAGATTTCGAAAGGTCGGCGCAGTTCTGCAGCGAGTACCAGTACGAGCCTGAGATACTGGGTTGTAGGACGAGCGCGCCGTCGGACAGGACGGGCGCAGTTTCCATAGTGCCGTCGTCGCTTTGGACGTAGCCGTTTGCGTTGCGGGAGGCGGTTCCGGACGTGCAGTAGTTTAGCCAGGCGGTAATGGGACAGGTGCATGTTTGGGGTGGGGGAGCGGCGGCGATGGAGGTCAGGCTGATGCAGCCGACTTTGACGTCGACTTTGGCGGGGTCAAAGCCGGAGAGGGCGATGCTGTCGAGGCGGCTGGAGTTGATGCCGGGGAAGTCGGAGAAAGGGATTTGCGCGACTTGGTAGGAGGTTGCGCCGGTGAATGTCACGTAGGAAGTGATGGGGACCGAGGATGGAGGCGACGTTATGGTGCACATGTCGTCCAACTGCCAGCGCATTGATACCTGGAATGTGGTGCCTGCCGGAGCTGCGAGGGAGAGTTGAATACCCGTCGCATTCAGCCCCTTTGCATTGTAGCATGTGGAAGCGCCGAATTGAGAGTACCAGTACGCATCGCTCTTGGTTCCCATGTCGAGAGATCCATCGCTACTGACGGAGTATGAGGCAAGAGTTCCCTCGTCCGTCATTGGGCCAATGAGTCGGTTTGTCCGTGGGACTTCGGACACAAACGTGCAGGTGTTCAGGATAGTTCCTGAGCAGAGCGCACAACCAGGGCTATCGGTCGGCCCTGTGAAGACCAGAGAGTGGAGACGATAGATTGCGCCGGGAGTATTGAAGTTGGTCATGACGAACGACTGGAGGAAGTCTTGGTTGAAGCTAGCGGGGAAGCGAGAGAAGGGAATAGTGAGCTGTGTCGGCGCAGCATTGAAGGTGACTGGGATGTAAGACGTGACTACATTCATGTTGCAGGTCTCACCGCCATACTTGAAACCAATGTTCGCGGTTGCCCCCTGTGGGCCTGAGACTGTGAGTTTGATCGCGTTGTAAGAACTGTTCAGTGCCACGCATCCGGATTGCTGTGCCAGCAACGAGTAGAAGTAAGAAGACAAATCTTTAGGCACTAGGTCGACTGCACCGCTGGTAGTCTGTTGGTAGGATTTCATCGTCTTGTCGTCTGAGATGGGAGCACCCAAGGCGTTGGTCTGCGTCCTGAACTCTTTCGGATCGCAGAAGTCGAGCACAACATAGCCAGAGGCAGTCGCGCACCGTGAACCAGTAGAGCCAGAGGCTGACCCACCCAGAAGAGATATCCATCGCATCGTGAAATTGCTGGCAGAAGAACCACCGCTGGGTTTAAAGTTGCGTAGTGTGATGCGGCTGACGGAGTTGGTGTCGAGTCCTGTGAATGCCGACATGGGGATCGTGATGTTTGCAAAGTTGTCCTGGTTTAATAGGGCATAGGTTGCGGTGTTGACGGTGGATATTGTACCAGTACCAGCACCAGAGGTCACAACCACGTCGAACGAGCCACCAGACGGACCACGGGCGTTGAGAGAGACTGCGGTGTACCCGGTAGCGTTCAGATTGATTCCATTGACGGCAGTGTCGGTATAAAAGTACGAGTTTGCGCTCGACGGCAGCAGCTGCATTCTCCCCAGCTCAGAGAGTTTTGCAAACGTCATCGAATTGTTGAAGTCAGTCTGACCAAACATGTTGTTGATACCAGTGATCCACCGATCAACGTTCTGGAATGACTCAATCGCAAGACCCGGAGTACGGTCTTCTCCCGGGGCAGTAACGCATCGCTTCTGAATCTTGATATTGTCAACGTAGATGGGTGTCTGCGCTGGCGAGATGTTGCCGATGCGTATACCGCGAACATGAAGCATATCCTGCCCCTTGAAGTCTGATAACGGAATAGTGACAGTGTGGTTCAAGCCGTCGGCAGCGGCGTATCTCGTGACGTCCAAGTATGTGGGACTCTGCACTTCAGTGTTGCAACCAGAATCGTACGAGACAAGTTGCACGTAGAAGGTGACTCCTGGAGGGGCGACCATGTCAAAGTAGAGATGCGTGTAGATTGTAGCGTCAAAGCAAAAGCGTGAAATCTCCGTGTAGTACGAGTTGACACCGCTGTTCGTAGTTGCAGTGAGCTGCAAAGTGCCGTCCACATTATTTGACGAAAGTCCTGTCGCAACAGTCTGCAACAATAGTAAATTGACGTTTTTGCTGCCAAAGTAGAGCTCGAGAAAGTCGTCAATCATGACGTCCCATGCTATGCATTCTGTGTCTCCGATCGGCTTTGGCGTAAAGTCGGGGCACGTGGATTCGGATGCATTGGTTGAGCCGACGGTGAAGAAAAGCGTATAAACGCCCTTGGCTGTGTTTCGCAGTACCACAGCATTCGTCGACTCGTCATGGGAAAGCTGCTGACAGACTGAGAGTGAGCCCGTGGCGGATTTGAAGGCATAAGTCCGAGGCACCTGCAGAGTGAGCCCTTCGGTAGCGCCGTCCAAGCGGACCGTCATGGCCACAGATGAGTTGTCCGCTGCCGTGATGTCTACAACGGCGCGGTCGCGGTTGGTCCACCAGTTGGCAATTCCTGTCTGGTTGAAGAAGACTGCAAAAGGACGCACAGTATCGTGGAGCGCGCGCTGGATCTGAATCTTGTCGAACACGGCGTCTGAAGGATGGATCAAGATGTTGTAATGTCCGCCATAGCGTGCCATATTCTTAATATCTTTGATCTGATTCGAAAAGTCCGAGCCTGGAAAGTCGGCACTGCTCATGTTGCCATCGCCATCCGACCATTGGAGTGGGAACTCGTAATAAGGCAATTCCTGGAAAGACTCGCGGTTATGCGTGACTTGAAACGGAAGATGAGTGAGGTGAGAATTGCCTGAGCACGAAGATCCACCAATGATTCCCATGGCGACGCAATGGGAGGCTTGGTACTTGCTCCACGCAAGGTTTCCCGGGCGGTAAGTAGTCATGTTATAGTTGGTCTTGAAAGCGTCTTTGAGCACGTATCGAATCAGATAGGTACTCACGCGGACCTCTCCAGATGCAGAAGCAGCCGATGTGTAGAAAGAGAGCCCGCTAGTACCTCCCTTTATGCATGTCTCTCCATTGGGGGGTGTCCCGTCAGCGTTGGGACCGCATTGGTGAATATACGGCGCATAGCCTGCGTTGGTGCCTTTGACAAATTGTTCATTAAGAGTGCCATAGGAAAACTCCGCTGCGTTGGGCGAGTGGCTGACAGTATGGCTGCCAAAATCGATGAATGGGTACCCGTCAGGACCATTTCGGAATCCGGTGATCTGGTAGATGTACGGAACACCATACTGGAAGTACGCATTCTCATAAGCATCCGTGATGTACTTGGTGTGAAGGTTCAGGTTGCCCGCCGCACCTCTATCCTGTGCGGCGGCTGCCATGCCTTGCCCGTGCGGGTATGAGACATAGGTGTCAATGTCCCAGGTGGTAGTGAAGGCGAGTCCCTTGTTGTAGGGAACTGTCCATAGGCTTACGAAATGGGGACTGGTAATGACGATGTTCTTAATGATGCGTGTCCCGATGTCATACCCGGGGTAATAATGTCCATCGTACCATGGCGAGTAACCACCGCCCTCGTTCTGAGCTTGAATGAACAGATACCCAATGTCCATGCCGAAGCTGTACACGTATCCGCTCGCACCTGAAGGCTGATGCTTGACAATTGCTGCGTTGGTCGTAGATGTGTCTGCGCTGTCCACGCCATTGTTTCGGACCTGGTATTTGGCAAGTGTTTGCGAGCCGTTGGCAGGCGTGTAGCCAACATTGACAAGACCGGATTGAGTGTAGTTTTCATAGAAAGGCATGTTGATGTCGTAGTAATCTGCAAAATCGAAACCACGGAGAGCCTGTACAGGGGTCTCGGTATTGGTCAACTGCAGAATGGATCTCGCACCACTTGCGTCTACAGTAGAGGCGGATACTCCTGCGAGAGCTTGAAGAGCGGTAGGGACTTGGTTCATGAAGATCAGCCTACCGCCTTTGGCAACAAAGGAGGTCAAGGCCGCGACATCCGCAGAGCTCGGGCTGTAGCTCACGCTCGGAGATGTGTAGACAAGCAAATTCCGACATTGAGACGAGATGTTGAGTGATTCGATGACCTTGACTTGTAAACCGACTGTCTTGAGAGAGAGCGTAAGTGGAAGCCTGCGGTGATGTTAGTTGGTGTGCTTGTTCGTAGCTTCCGGACATGGTTCACCAATTGGGGTCTGCTTTATAATCTGGTAGGAAGATGTTCAAGCCCGAGTTCGGTCCAGCTGCGTGTCTTTGGTAATACCGTTAGTATAATACCATGATGATGTGCGATTAGTCTTCTAACCTCGATTGAGAAGGTACAGTAGGAGGTAAACTGTCTTCGCTCGGGCTCGCACTGGTACCTGCGGGTCCGACAAGAGAGTATATATCCGGCGAGACAAAGGCCTGACATAATTGAAGGACAGCAAAGAGCGACAGAAGTATTAACGAACGCATGCTTGATGCTTCCCGTGACGAGAAGTACACTTTGCAGAAGATGAATTGAAGAAAGAGAGAGTGTTGGACCCCAGACCCGACTTCTTGGGCGACTTCTAAATAGTAATGTCAATCAGACAGGCGGGAGAAATCGCCGGAGTAGCCAGGGGCAAAAAGCTAGATGTCTGGCTACGCTAAATAGAGGTGGAAACCTTAAGAAGCAGAAATCGGGAAAAACTTCATCGTCTAGTCCGCTTGGGGCGCTCAGTCAGCCATGGACAGCGACTACTGTACTATATTTAACGGTACCTGCACTACCTGACAGTACCTGGGCCCCGAAGCTTCTATCCCGGTAACCATAACGCGGGCGAACGTCATGGCGCAAATGGTAAAAGTCGACGTTTTTAGTCCTCGTTTAAGAGATTTTAATTGGAGCGGTGGCTGACAGAAGGTTCGCGTTCGTATAATGACACTGTTGGGACTGGGGATCCGCCATGATTCCTACCTAGGTAGATGTCGTGGCGCCGTCGCAAACGTACTCGCTTATCTAGCGGCGGGGAAAGGGGGCCCCGACAACGGGATCTTCTTTGCTTCTCTGCCTTGTCCCGAGGTCGATCCGTAGACATGAGTAGTTAGGTGTGACCACGAGCAAATCTTGTTGTATGTTGTGCATTCTTGCGCGAGTCCTTGGCAGGAGACATGGTCATCCTCTTTGAGTGATGGAGCGCTATCAAAGGTTGGCATGATCAGATAACACTCAGGCCGTCTCACGCCACCACCACCACCACCACCATCGTTGCCTGGCTGCTGCCTATAGGCTTCTGCCTATAGGCTTCAGCATGTCTAACTTGGCGCGCATCGAGTATATCTTCACGATAACTGCTGGCTAGAAATGTCAGACAGCAAAGCAGACTTCACAATGAGTACCACAGCAGCACCACACCTCAGACGTTCAAAACGCAAACGCAACTATGCAGCCATCAAGCAAGTCCATGCGCCAACGCCAGCGCCAGCACGCAAGAGACGTGCGCCTAAATCCGTCTATGCTGCAACGGATCCTTCAATCGTTCTTGACAGCCATGGCAGCGTCAATGCGGCCGTCACAGACAATTCAACACGGCAACACACCAACACCCTATCGCGGTTCCTAGCCCTCCCACGAGAGTTGCGAGATGAAATATACAAGCACATTCTAGACCAAGACAACTCATCAACGCTGAAACCTGGGTCTCGCAACATCGCCACACGCTGCGGGCTCGCAGGAGTTAACAATCAAATTTCAGAAGAGTTCCTCGATGCCGTCCTGTTCCACGCTCCAGTCATCACGACTACAGTGCGCAACCACAACTTCGGACCGGTCGTCACATTCCTCAATCGCTTGTCCCAGGCACAGCTTACGAGGCTAAGCACGCGCGGCTCTCAGGTCAATGAAGCAGATGATGATGCGAGACCGAAACGCAAGATGAGAATTATTCTTTCTTACTCGGCAGGTGCCAAGGACAGTCGTGCGCATTTGAATCGCTGGCTGGACCGGTTTGACGTGCCTGAAAAACGCGGCAAGGAGATTGAGTTTGAATACGAGGGCGATGGGACGTATAGGAATGGGGGGTACAAGCAGAGACCAAAGACGCGGGACAATGCAAGTGCAAGATGGAATGAGGAGGCGGCTAAGATTGGCACGGCTGCTGCTAGGGGTGTTCGAGTGTTTGGTGGATGGGGATTTTAGGGCATGAACTAGAGCCACAGGACAGACGCGGGATATAATAGTCTTCTGTGTTGCGGAGCCTTGTACACTACCGCTAGCTATCCAACTTGGACATTAATGGCCTAATCTCTCCATTCCATCAATATGCACAAGAGTCGCGATGCTCGGCTAAACCAACCCAAAAAGAAATACACCTTGGGGTATCAAACGCCGTATCCATGCCGTGAGCCCGTTGCTTTGTGCTCTCCAAACAAACATTAGAGATATCGTACAAATCGCACATATCATATCATTACCCGTATTGTCTCGTAGATCCTCATGGATTGGAATGCACAAATCTTGCGCCCTGACACGGCGATCTCGCCTGCTTGAACGCCTTGATCCTATCCATGATCCAACCCGATGTCCATTGCCGTCCGTCCTGCGGCCCCTGGGCATGTCCCAGACGTATGGCATAGCCTAGCGCGCATTCCGTGCCCGAGTACTCGAACTGTACACACTTTGTATCCTTTTCGCATGCTTTTTCACAATTTGCCACGGAATGGGTCGGGCTCTGCTTCTTCTGCTTCTTCTTCTTCTTGTACACGGGACCACCGTCGGACATGTTTGACCAGTCGTCTTTCCTCGCTTGTAGTTGTGGTTCGATCATGTCGAATAGTTCCTCAAACATGAGGGCGCGTTCGGGGTGTCTACGGGCTCGCTCCCAGGTGCTGAGGGAGGTGAAGTCGGATTCGGAAAGGTGATGCATGGTGATGATGGCCTCGCACCATTGTTCCCGGTCGAAGCGCATGGTATCTGGCTTCTCGCCGTTGAACATGGGCCAGTAGCCGCGGAGAGACACGCCGCTCTTCTTGAGGACCTGGGCCAGTATCTCGTCGCCGCAGCAGTGCTTCGCCACGTCGACGCCGAAGAAGTGGGTACCGGGAAAGTGCTTGTTCTCGCCAAACATGCGGCCAAGGGCCATTATCTTGTCGAGGGCGGCGCGTGAGAGGACGAAGCCGGAGCCGCCGTGGGCAAAGGTGGGCTTCTTGGCAGGCCAGACTGGCGAGCCAAAGTAGTAGGCCGTCTTGGGGGAGAAGGTGGAAAGGAAGCGGTAAAGATTATCGTAGTTGATGTACGTGTCCAGCTCGAGGAAGACGTACCACTCCGACTCTGGACGCATGTACGAAGTCCACTCCATCATGGGCAGAAACTTGTACTTGTCCAGCCGCCATCCATCCGGCGTCTTCTCCTGGTCCGTCGCATTCAGGGCCTGTATTCGGTCGTATATGTCAAAGTCGGCGTTGTTGAACTTGTACTCGGGGCGCAGGTGGGCGAGCGCATCGGCAACCTCGAAGCCGTGCACTTCGTCCTTGCGGTCCGAGAAGATGACGAGATCCTGCTTACAACGGCCCAGCCGATTCAGAAAGTTTGGCAGCTGCGTCGCAACTTCACCGTGACCAATCTTGAGCACAAACGTCACGCCCTCCAGCACGCCCGCGCTGAAGGGCGAGCACTCATCGCCAAATCGCACCGGGGGAACAGGCGCGGAAACAGCGGGAGGGGGCCGCTCAGGAAACACGTCATAGCCGCGCTCACCACGCAGCAGGCGCGGAACAAAAGACGACAGGAAGAAGACACAAAAGACAGCAGCGGCGCACAAGAGACGCAGCGGCGTCAATCGCACCATCATGTTTGGTGGTGGTGCGATGATTCCTGTACGAGGCCCGCTCTCTCATTACCGTAGCTGCGGCCTGACGCGTGAAATTGCCGATGGCCTCGCCTTTCCGACTAGCCGGCGAGCGCGCTTCTTCTTTCTTCCAACTCATCAGGTGTCGTCATTGTCAGCATCGCTTTAGGGTTTGTTTAGATACATCGAGTACTGTCTGCAACTAGCAGCTATCTTGACACCAGCCTGGCAACTTCACTTACTTAACACTCGTACCTGTTGTCCAGTTTCGCTCCTGCCTGCCCGGGCATTGACGGATGGCGCCTTCCCTAACAGAGCATGGTGAGTCCCTCCTGCCTTGTTTGTCAGCTTCCAACCCTTCCTCCAAAGAGCTTGGTGTCCACATCACAACGTCACGTCTGACAATCCTTCTATTTGGTGAAGGAGCCGCCAGCTTACGATTTGGACTTTGATGGCATCTGATCTGGTATTTTCGGACTAATCGGACACGTATCTATGCTACCCCCAGCAAGCACTCCAGCAAGCACTCCAGCAAGCACATCAGCAAGGCCAGATCAAATGATCTTTTTGTGGAAGCCCCACTTAGGACACAATAGTGTTATGTGTTTACCTATTGTGTACTCCATCGTTGCCTGCAACAAGATCAAGCTGCGATAACAGACGATAAGGCACCTCGCGGGCAACAGATTGGTTTGGTAATAAAGCCTCGACTAGCCTGTCGCCTTGGACAGTGTCATTTGGCCAGTCTCCCAGTCCCAGTGTTGAGAATATCACAACAAAGGCTGTGTTGGTGAATACAAGAACTGTTAACAATCAGATCACAATAACATAATACGCTGTCTGGAGCATACGAGAAATCACACCGTAGTAACCTAATACGTTGTCTAGAGCATACAGGATAAGCATGACAGAGTTCAAATTACAAGCTTACTGGGAGTTCATACCAAAACATAACTGCGTGTACCACTATACAACAATAGTTCACCTCCCTGTAAACCAACAACACGTCTGTTAGCCACAACACCACAGCTAGAAAAGCATAACAGACACTTCCACCAGACCCGCCACCACCACAGCCATACCGCGCGTACTCCTCCAATCTACACCCACCCCAGCAGACGGCACCCGACTCCCCTGTCTGACGTCCCTCGGCGCCACACAAACCACCTGCGTATCAACAACCTCCCCATCATAAGACGAAATCACCACCGGAACCGGGCTCATGACATATTCATCATAATGGTCAGATTTCCCTGCCTCGGGACTGATGCCGAAGAGATCGTGTGTTCGGTAGTCAGAGGGAAGGTTCCAGTTGAGGTATTGAGGAGGCGAGGTACTGACGCAAGTAGTATTTGTGGCGTTGACTCCGGTGACTTTGTGTATGGGTTAGTCTCCTGGGACGGGCAATAGAAGAGAAGGGGGATGGCTTACCTGTACTGACGACTGTGCTCTTGGTGATGACGGGTGTCTCACCACACGCGCTTTTGATCGCGCTATCAGAAGTCATGAAGCCTGGACACTCGACCTCGCCATTGTTGTTGGTGTTCATGGGGAGCGCCAATTGCCGTTTCAACCCATCGATGCAGTTTTGTGAGAGTACGCCACCACATCCGTTGGCGGAATCTCCTTGCTTCTTATCGAAGATGCTGTTGAACATGGTTGCGCAGATCTGCTTCGTACTGCTCTCGGGTGCGCTGATGTAGGTGTAGAGCCATGGCATGCCCTTTTCTGTCGAACCCTTGGATTCACCAAATGTCACTGATACGTAGATATCGGATATGTTTACCGTGCCGGAAGAGTTGACGGGGTGGTCGTTGTCACTGTAAACGCGGCAAGACGGGCCAGTGGTATTTGTTGCATTTTGGGCAAGTGTGGAGGTTCCGAGTAGGGACAGCGCCAGGAGGAGGGATTTTAGTGAGTATGTTGGAGGTGTCATGATTATGAATTCTGGTTGTTTTTAATGCTCTACAAATGCGACATGTGTTGCCTTCCTTTTGTATGCTTCAGAGAGCCAGCGCGCATCGCCCACAGCCTCACAGAAACGACGTCATACATGCCCACTACCGTTCGTTTTCCAGCTTTTAGTATGTAAGACTGTAAGCCTTACGCTTCACCGGGCGCAATCTAATTCTGGCATAAGCTTTGACCCAGATCTAGCTAAGTTGGAACCCTAATCGCTGTCAAAACGCGGGGAGTAGCTTGATTGGACAAGAAAGACATGATATTCATTCTGCTATAGTAGTATGGTGTTTAAGACCACAATGGGAGTAATGATCGTATTGTTAGACGGTGCGCCTTGCCGGGTAATACGGCTAGTAGGTGCACATCCGACAGTCGGGTCGGGCTGAGTTAGTTCGGACCAAATGACTTCTTTTCAACTATGAGTATCTCGTACCGTACGACCATGCAGCTCTTGCTATACCTTTCAATTCATCCGAACATTATATTGACCACTTCAGGTCGAAGCTTCCGGGCGGCAAGGAGCGCATTAGACTGGTAATACCGGACATAATGAGCTTTATATCCGGGCGGGGCACCCCACTGTCGTCATTTTGCGACGACGATGGCAGTCGCAATGCTTTATATCCAGACGCGGTACACATAGCTTCATAATCGCAGGAATTCCTACAAACACACACAATGCCTCTTCTAGCACAGAACCCAAAGGATCGAGTCATCCTCGGGTTGATGACCTTTGGTACCTCCTCCATGCCTACCACTTTCGAAGTACCGTTACTAATGATGAACAGGCCCCGATGAGACTACAGGAGCACGTATAACAGAATTTGACGAGTTCACGAAGCACTTCGACTACTTCCAGGCCCAAGGCTATGATGAAGTCGACACGGCTCGCATGTACGTCGGCGGCAAGCAGGAGGCATGGACGCGTCAGGCAGGATGGAAGGACCGTGGTCTCACCCTCGCCACCAAGGTGTACCCGTATGAGGCTGGTGTTCACAAGCCCGAAAACCTAAAGAGCCACTTCACCACTAGCCTTCAGGAACTAGGTGCAGACTGCGTAGATATTTTCTACCTACACGCACCGGATCATTCTGTGCCGTTTGAGGAGACTCTTGGTGCTGTCAACGAGCTGCACAAGCAGGGCAAGTTTGTCAACTTGGGTTTGTCCAACTTTGCGGCTTGGGAGGTCGCTGAAGTCTACAACATTTGCAAGGAGCGAGGATGGGTCAAGCCGACCATCTACCAGGCCATGTACAACGCCATTAGTGAGTAAATTGACTGTCCGTACATTGATTTGCACTAACATACTTCAGCCCGCGCAATTGAACCAGAACTAGTACCAGCCTGTCGCAAATATGGAATCGACATCGTCATCTACAACCCACTAGCCGGCGGCCTCTTCTCCGGCAAAATCAAGTCCAAAGACATCAAGCCCGATGAGGGCCGTTTCGGAACAAAAGCAGACCGCGTGGGAAGCATGTACCGCGACCGGTACTTCAAAGACGCCACTTTCCAGGCCCTCAAGATTGCCGAAGATGCTGCACAGAAACACAATCTGACACTGTTAGAAATTGCTTTGCGGTGGTGCATCCATCACTCTGAACTCAAGACCAGGGTCAAGGGCGGGAACGATGGCGTGATTATTGGTGTTAGCAGTTTGAAGCAGCTTGAAGGTAACCTGGCAGATCTTGAGAAGGGACCTTTGCCAGATGAGGTTGTCAAGGCGTTGGATGAGGCTTGGATGGCTGCTAAAGCTACTGCGCCGACGTATTTCCGGTGATTCAAGTTCGTGTCGTCAATAGATGGGGAATAGCGCAAGTGTAGGATGAGAGACCTCTTAGTGTCGTAGAAAGACAGTTTAGCGAAGAATTGGGCATTCGGTACACTTGAGTATATCAATTGTTCATCATATCATACACGACAATCTAACCATACTGCCCATCCCACCAATGCACATGTTTCACAACCTTTTTCCTTACTCCGTTAGTTTCCGCCGTCCCTTTAAGAATACTCCGCTTTTTCTGATGATCCCCCTCCTCCCTTGCTTGTTCCTCTTGTTCCTCTTGTTCCTCTTGTTCCTCTTGTTCCTCGAATCCTCCGTCTAAACCCTCCCTCTCCTTTTCTGCTTCTTCTCCTTCTTCAGCCTCACCCAACGGCCCAGGGTTCAAAGCGTTTGTTGGAAACTCTGCCATCGACTCTTCTCTACTCTCACTGGAAAGCAGATAATCAGTATCCCACAGATCTTGTGATGAGTCGCCAGACATGATTCGCTAGTGTAGAAATGATGTGAAGGTTGTCAGACGATAATGTAGGAGATTTGAGCGGACGCTGGGGTATTTGTAGGCTCCTCGAATACATATGACGATGATTATGTGTTGGAATAAAACGTTTGTAGGCCGCGACTGTATGTGCGAACGCAGAGGTGAGGTGTGTGGGAGTGTTTGGTATCTGCCCTGGTTAAGGATAGGCGATTGATGATTGCTTATGCTACGTGGGTGGAACACTTTAATGTCAGTCCAGGTTTTTCTTGTCGCGACTGGCAGATGAGCTGGCATACGCACTGCGTCCCCAATTTGTATGGGTCCAACGAGACATTATATACCAGCAAACCAAGTGTGAGAACATCTGCAACGTCTCCTACTAGCTTCTCTACCTCCTCGCCACCTCATCTATCCGTCAAGTAGCCTCCTGCCACCACGGATGCGCCATAACCTCGTGTATTGTTGACCTGGCCGTCGGGTCAGGTTTCGTCATTCTAGATATCATATTATATGCCTCAGAACCCAGTTCTTGTCCCCACACCTCAAAGCTCATTTCTGGCTGGTCTTGCACCGCCAACTCAGCCATTTTCGATGCTAATCCGAGAGCCTTTGTCCATTTCTCGCTAGCGATCTGGTTGAGAAGGCCCTTATTCGCTGGCCCAAAGTACAAGAAGTGTCGCGTTAATATCTCTTGCTCTGGGCTTATGCCAAGCTTGACGAGGTCCTGGTAGTCGTTGATGAGTAGCACTTCACCAGCCCCGAGGGTATATATGCACTGCGCGAACGCTTAGCGTGGAGTTCTTCGAATACCCATGAAACGGCGTGGAACAACTTACGACCAGTCCGAATGAGTAGATATCTGATGCCTTGGACAAACCTCTCCCGGTCTGTCCTTCTGGACTACGCCACATAGCGTTCCCTACTGCATGAGTAGTCTGAAGCAGCGCTCCCGTCTCCAACTTAACAGCGATGTCGAAGTCACCTAAAGCGACGTCGGTGATTGCTTTAGTACCCTCTTGGTCGCAAGTCCAGTTGACTAGTATACTATCGGGCTTGATATCTACCAAGATATATTTTTAGTTAATAGTTCGTGACGGAAGATCAAACGTGGGCTGGTGATCATACCGATATGGATCCAGTCCTTGCTATGTAGTTCTCGTATAGCCTCTCCTGTCTGCCGCAAGACTTCCTTCCGTGCTGCATTAGAGATTTTTGAATCCTCCTGAAGCAGTCTAAGCAGGGTATGTTGGTAGTATGGATAGATTAGGGCGTTCTCGTCTTCGTTGGAATCAACATGCATGCGAAGCCGACGAGACTTAGGGAAATCGGCTGCAAGGCGTAAGGACAGGTCATAGAATAGTTTGGGCACACGCTTGAAAACGAAAGACTGGTCATGAGATCTAAAACGACTTTTGTCAAGTGAAACTCCAAGTGTGAGGTTTGTATAACGTACTCGGCTTTGAAGATGTTCAATCTGGGGTCTTTGCGCTCCTGGAGCACCTCACGCTGAATGTATACACGGCCAGATTTGCCAACAATAGTGGATGCCGTTCTGATGCGTATTCGTGAAATTAGGAGTATGTGATGAGCATGACGATTGAAAAGCATGAGTGGAGAGTTGGGCAACAGGAATATCTAGGAAAGGGGTTGTATCAATAATTAGATGTTCTTCGTAGTAGCTTAAGAATGGTGTTCCTGTAGTGCTGTGCTGCCCACTTTTGTGAGCCTAGGCGGCCACTTGATTCTTTTAGGTAACCCGCGATCGCTGCTTTATGTACGCGGCATCTCAATCACCACGGGCTTGGTGTGAGATTTCTCCAAGTATACCGCTGTAGCGATATTGAACCTACAGTATTTACAGGCTAGCGGTTTGGTACTAAGGCGCGGGTATCTATCAGACATTGATGCGGAGGCGGCTGCTGTAGAGTCGTACTCCTCCCGCAATAGCGCACCATGATAAATTGTGTTCCGTAACACTTACAACGTACAGGGGTGTGTCTTCAGTATGCACAGCGTTTACGTTGCAATCACGGTACGTTATGAACGAGTAGTAAATGCAAGCAAAGGATGCAGGATTAAGCTTGCACATGCACCCTTAACTTGGCCGCAAAGCAAACAATCCTGCTTCGCATGTTGTAGTAGCTACCAACATACACCACAATTGACTACTCGCCAACAGTCGCCCTTTTATACGGCAATGTGGCATCCGCAGGCATCCGCAGGCATATAGTGGTCTATTTGGTAGGGTAAACATGCTGGATTATGACGTGATTCCTACTCGCATCTTGCCAGTGGGTGGTGTAATGAGGGTAGGAATTTTTCTTGCTAGGGCGATTGTCTATATATTCATTAGAGTGCCCGTGCATTCGATGAGCTCCTTTCAAGACTGCGGCGGCGCCGATGCTGTCCCTGTCGATGTTCGGAGTCACACGGCAGTTATGATGTCGACGGGCTTTGCATGCTTGCGACTGGTCCTTGATTCATTAGAAACGCCACGATTTATTGGGAACAGGCGGCTTCGAACGTCTATTGGGTGTGTCGTTTCGGAGCTACCAAGCCTCAACTCTTCTCAGCTACCTAGGGGTCTAGGCGAAGTGAGTTGCGAACGCCGTCTGTGCAAAAGCAGGAACACACACTGTCGCGCTGTTGTGCAACTGGGGCGCAGCCATGTCAGACGCCAGGGCCGGGCGGGGAATGATGCAGGCCGACATTCACCCTCGCTTATGCAAGTGGGGGGCCAAAGCGCGCCAATGACGTCGCTCAGGCCCGATAGCGATAAGGAACCCAAGGGGTCGGGGTCAGGCGGTCATGATGCTGCAGCTAACAGACTCCAGTATGCAGCTAACACGCATATCACCCTCCTACACGCGACTAGAGCGGCCGCGAGATGACCGAACTCTGCACCCAGGATCGTCCCGCAACCGTTCCGCCGCTCTTCTGTACAGCACAGGTGCCACGTAGCAGCGACGCAGGTACGCACAGAAAGCCGCACGCAGTAGAGCATGAACTGCCGTTGGTGAGTCCTGCACCATATAAGAATGACAGCCGGCCCTGCCGCCGCGGTTCCCAGTGTCCTACATTCCAATTTCACAGCAGACCGACGGCTGCAGTGCGCCGGACGAGGGAGTCGATCAGCTGGAGCCGGATGTATCATGTGGCCCAGTAAGCCACTCTCTGCAAACTTACGAATCAGTCCCTTTCTCGCACACCATCATGTGGGCTTTTGTGTGATTGGAGCGCAAACCCTCACTACAAGGTACATTGAAAGGAATCCTTTCTTGTTTTAGCTTCAGACCATGCGTGTCAAATCGCTCTATTGGAATTTGGCCTCCACGCCGCGAATGCGGTGCTACTTGCTCCCTTGCCAGGCCGGAGCAACCCTTTGTCTTCACATGATCTCATCATCTTTCACGCCGCTTCCCTCCGTCATATGTCCCTTGCTTTGAAACGCTGTATTCCTTGATCCAATCACTGCCTTGTTTCGTGTCAAATAAGTATTACCCTGCCTTGTCCCTCGTTGTTTCCACCCATCACCGGCAACTCCGAACTTCGGCATCCATATGCATGCAGTCGCAAACACTTTGAATCTGGATACTGGACTCGAACATTGGGCGCATAGCGATCCGAGACGTGCCTCTTGGTCGCTATGTGCTGGTCTTTCAACTTTGGCTTACCAGGCAAGAAAACCCCCAAAACCTCGCCGTCAAGCGAGAAGAAGAGACGGGATAGGCCTTCCGATGGTGCGCTCCGTGGAGAGGGGAGAGCAGTAGCAGAAGAAATCTCAGAGAAGCGCAGTTCAAAGGACTCTAGCAAAAAGAGACGGTCTGCAGACTCAACCCCGCGCTCGCCGCGTTCACAGCACCACAAAAGAGAAAGGGAAGAACATCGTCCACGGTCGCAGCTTCCGTACGAAGATGCCTACCGGAGTCGTGAGAGGTACCGCCCGGCTCAGCATATGCAAGTGCCGCAGACCTACCACCGCTCAGCAGAGCCCGCAAGCGTCAATTCTTCTCAGGAGACTCTGTTGAACCCACGACCCCACCGAAGCCAGCATCATCGGCGGCGTCACCCAAATCAAGCGTCGCAAAGCACTCTGCGCGGGCGCGGAGCAAAGCGCGACCCTGCACGACACTCAAAGTCAAAGAAGAATATCCGGCCTGAGCCTTCACGCGGCTGGTCACTCTTTGCGCCTTCGCCTCCAAAGACACCAAAGCGCGAATCTCGCAGTTACAACACTCTGGACTCGTCGCCACGCAGTCATCGCTCCTCGCGCCAACCTCACTCCGCTTCGCCTTCTCAGACAAGTCCGGAGTCTACAAGGTCTCATACACACCACCACCGTTCTCGTCAGCATCAACCGTCAGCGCCTTCTACCCGCCAAGCTCGTTCGCGTACGCCGAACACAACTGCCCGCCGCGTCCCGGACAGGCGTTTTGCCGTCCTCGCCGCTACCAACCAAGCGCTCGAGGAGGTCCGACAAGAAGCCTTTGCGGCGCCATCTCCACCCCCAAGACGTGAAAGGCTACGCCGGTACGATGGCGTAACCATTCCTACTTCTCAGATTCCTTTTAACTGGGACTGCGTAAGCAGCTCGCAGACTTCAGCTGGACATGGCGGCCGTAACGGCGAGTCAAGTACTCGGCAGAGGCGCTCTCGTCGTTGAAGCGTCAGATTGGCCAACCCAACGAACAACGCATCTCGCAGCTTATACAAAGCGGCCCACAAGTAGATATGGCGACTGGATGTCGTTGTAACTGAGCTGACATTACTGGGCCTGGCGCATGCATGCGCATGCGCATGGCGTGTGATATTTTCTTCTTTCTATAGTTATTCCCCGTCGTACAATTCTTCGTTTTTGTCGTTTGTTGGATACCCCCACCCCGCATAACCGGTCGTTCAGGCGTTGTTGCATCACATCACATCACATCCTAATACCCCTGCATTGCATTTACATGTTGATTTATTCTTTATTGCATGTAGTGGACGTGTCGTACATATTCTGGTAGTAATAGATAGACAATGAAGACGTGAATCTGGCCACTCGCTCACTGTCCGTCTCCACATGTTGTGCATAGGAAATGATCAGCATAACTGCGCTTGTGATATGACTCACGCTCGCACTCGTCTTTCTCGGCGCAAGCCCACTAAGGCCCACATGCGATGCGCACTCACCCGCCCGCACCCGCATTGCGTCCGCGATCGCTACATGCTCTCTCCCTGTTGGACAGTACTCCGTGTTTCTTTGGCAGAGTCCCCCGTTTACAAGTTGTCATAATAATACCTGTTGTGGTGACAATTGGAATGGCATCCTTGAATACCAACCACAACGACATGCAATAGATTATAAAGTAAACTGTTAAGCATGGCGTAACTCTTACTCTGTACCAATCGTATTCCAAGGCTCGTATGGCATACCTACCGTATTCAGAGTTTGTCGAATGTCGCCAAGTGGGTCAGGGGGTTGTGCAGATGGTTCAAACTAGTGGAACACCAACGCCATGGAACCAAGCTACAAGCGGTGCTATGCAGGAGAAGCTCTAGTACGTTAGTGTACCATCATTCAGTGAGGTCTTCGTCGTTCCAGGGCTCCGTTGCTCCGAAATCACATATTTGTTCTTTCATTATTTACTGCTCTACTGGACAATCTTTCATCAAGCATTCTTGGTCCAACGGTAGGATAATTGCCTTCCAAGCAATTGGCCCGGGTTCGACTCCCGGAGGATGCACAACATCCTTCTCTCGATTGCGCGTTGTGAAATTACTTTTTTGCCCTTTTGGTGGGTGGTAGGTGATGTTGGGCGATTTTTTTGGTTAGTGGCGGGGACGGCAAGACTAGGCGAAAACGATGCGTCTAGAACACACGTATTGTGTTCCCCGAGTCTTCTTGCCTGTAGAAGCTTGAGTACATATTATTTTGCTTTTTCATTCTTGCAGTGTCGTCTGCGGATTGTTGGATCGTAGTATACAAGGCGCAGGGGACGTTGTATGCATGTAGCTATTCACGTTTCTGTTGGAACAGAGACAGAAGCATAGTATATCAACACCGTGAGTGTGTCTGGGATACTAAAAGGAAATTATGGGAGATGCATAGCAGTGAGAGCGTAAGAGGTACCTTCTATTTCACCCGTCGCTTTGCTTCCCTATTTTTCGTCTGTAATCTCCAATCTCGTCATCGTTATGCGCAGATGTCTGCCTGCTGCTGCCGTCACTACCACGGTGTCGCAGAACGAATTGAACGGCCTTGGGGCTCGCCTATCACAAGCACTACTACAAACAGCCAATAAATCAGAAGTCTTTTTTTATTTCTTCTTATCTTTTCTCTCTCGCTATTTTTAGCCCTCCTCTACTCTTCTATATATATATATCTCTCTCTCTATTTTCTCTTTTTTTTCTCCCTTCTTGTCTACTTTTGTCTCTTTTTTTCCTTCTCTTCTACTCTCTTTTCTTGTACTCTTATGTTTTCTACTCTCTTCTCTTTTACTCTCTTCTTCTTTACTCTGTTCTTTTCTACTTTCTCTTCTACCTCTTTCTCTCCCCTCTTCTTTTCCCGCTACATTGTTACTAACCGAGTAGTCCTTAAGCTAACCTTTGAGCATGGCTTTGAGCATGGTGGTATCATTACTTCTAATAGTAATAAGGTAGTTAGTAAGACAGCGAGCAACTTGAGGCTGATTATCTGCATTGGGCTTTTAGGGCCTGCCGGCAGAACTGTCCATGTGTCACTACCAGGCAAAAACCATGGACATGCTATCCATACTAAAACATACATATCCTTGGAGAACACATGTCATTCCCAAAACTAAATGCTGACAATAAGTACTCAAAGTAAACTACAGCCCTGACAACCTCGAGTTTCAAACACCCAATTTCTCCCCCGTATTCTGCACATCCCTCTCCTCCGCCGACTCCGCCATCCCAGTAACCCCGGGCCCCCTCCTGACCATCCTACACCCATCCACCGTCTCAAACCCCAGATGCAAATACACCGCCCTCGCACTAGGCATACACTCTAGATACATAGGCGTAGCCGGAACAGTAGCATCCGCCTTCTCAATCGCCCATCTCATCAACCGACTCCCAACGCCGCGACCTTGATACTCCGGCCAGACAAGCAGCGGCGCCAAATACCAATGCGGCTTACCATCCATCACCTCTCTCCTCCTATCATCATCTTTCTCAATCTCGCTATTCCAATCAGGCGCAACATGCGCCCACATTTCCTCAACCTCGGCATCGCTCCAGCCGAGCAGGGTTTGCCAGCCGTAATGTTCGACAGCGCTGCGGCGGAAAAGATTATGAACGTCCGGGTTCGAGGGCAGAGACCAACCTGCCACACCGATTGTTTCGCCTGTGGCCACGAGAACGGCTTTGACAAAGACGATATGTGCGTACTTGAAAGCGGGTAGGAGCCGTTTTGCTAGCAGCGCGTGACGTAAATGTTCTGCAGGGCGTAGTTCTATGGGCTCTTTTTGAGCCCACCACTCGGCGGGGAAACAGATGTAGAAGGCTTCTGCCTTGTTATAATTTAGTGGTTCTGATGAAGGGTTCTGCAGCGGGAGTGTAGACGTACGATTTTGAGAGCGTCGGTTTCGGTGCATATCTCGGTTCGTAGGTCGGTGTCTGGTAGGCGGTTTGAGGGCTCAGTCGGCATGCTTTGGAAGCCATCGGTCTGTTCTGTCGGGACTTTTATGAAAGCAGCTTTTTGCTGCGCCATTTTTGCTCCGTTTGGCTTGTAAAGTGTGGGGTTATTGTGCGTCTTTGGCCGGTTTATTGTAAGAACGACTCGATGGCTTAAGGCAGACGTAGTCTTTCATGTTTTAACATCCCGCTACATCGGCGCTAACTAGCTTTGTCCGGGGCTTTCTCGTTCTCTCCTCGTCTGTGCCGTACTCATACTGGCTCATTTCCCACACCGAAAGTCTTGTTCCGATAGACGACAGCGCGAAGATGTTACAAGTCACGAGAATAATGATTCTGACATTTTAACGCTGTGAGTTACGTATTTGGCGAGGGGTTACGGCAGTGGGGTAATCCACCCCACCCTACCCAAAGGCCCTTTGTTTACCAGCATCTAGGTGTCATAAAATACTTGACAGTGGGTAAGCCCTGATAGACATTTCTAACGACTACAGTGACCCCTTTATACTAGTATGTTAAGTATTTTAAGACGCCCGGGTGCCCATAGTTCATTAATCCTCAGCTCGGTCGACGTGGGATCGTGGGCATTACGAGGCCTGCCTCTCTACATATAGGCTAGGGTGCACGGCAGAATAATCATAGCTTCAAGTTGAACTATTAAGGTTTCGGCGGTGAATGCAAGGAAACCTGAGTGTTGTAAATCTACAAGTGCAAACAACTAGGTTCAATGTGCGTCAAGAGCCGTCCGCGGCTAATATGCAAGCCCGTGAAGGAAACAAGAGCCCAGCATCTAGACAACATGATAACAAAATGTAGATCTATTCATGGGTATCGTCACGACAACGGGAAATCTAAGCTACAACTGCAGTGCCTATGGTTCCAAACTAAAATTACGTTCATTTCCTGTTCTCCGAAGTACTCGCATCGTCACCGACGACGACAATGGCAGGCGCAGCACCCACCTCGGCATCGGGCTGCTCGGTCTTCTTGCGCCTGAAGCTCAGCATGGCCTTCAACTTGCCTGCACCGACACAGCACGCCCTGTAAGCAATGACGACGGGCTTTCCAACAACACCCGCAATCACTGCGAACCACTCATCGGGGAAATACCTGATTAGGACTGCCCAAGGGATACAAACGAAGCCCGTAACGATGCTAATAGCCCATTGAGTTCCATCGATTCCCCCAGACTTGATATGGAATGCTCTTCCGCCAACGAAGACGATAAGAATTTGCAGAGCGATGATCAAGGCGACGATTCCCATGAAGAAGATGTTTCTGAATACACCCTCAAAGATGTTGAGTTTGTTATCGAGACGCCTGTTGTTGAAGATGTTGAAGATTTGCATCCAGACAAAGCTGTTAAAGATGACAGTGTCCAACTCCAGTTGCTTATCAGGGTTCGAAAGATCGTAATTTAGGATATCGCCACCGGCAAAGTACAACACGAAGATGACGGTGATCTTGTAGATATTCTGGCCTGTGATTTGTTTCCACATTGTCGTCGTGATGAGGGGGCCTTTGCCTTGGGGTGGGCGATCGAGAATCTTCTCGGTGGGTGGGTCGGTGGCAAGTGCGAGGGCAGCGAAGGTGTCCATGATAAGATTGACCCAGAGAAGCTGAACGGCTTTGAGTGCAGGTTTCATCTCATCATCGTAGACAGCGGTGACGAATGCGAGCACGACTGCGGTGATGTTGACGGTGATTTGGAACTGTCGATGTTAGTCTTGGACGGCAGGGAGAATGACCAGAGCCTGACTTACTTGGAGAAATTTCTGAACGGCGTCATTGACAGCACGCCCCCACATTAGGGCTGTGATGATGGAAGCAAAATTGTCGTCCATGAGAATGATCGAGGACGCTTCCTTGGCAACCTCAGTACCTGAAACCATAGAAAAACCGATGTTTGCCGCCTTGAGTGCGGGAGCGTCGTTGGTACCATCGCCGGTGACGGCAACGATTTCACCTAGATCCTTGAGACGCTGAACGAGGATGCGCTTGTCCTCTGGGGAAGAACGAGCCAATACTTGTAATCGGGGAAGCACCTCATCCAATTGTTCATCAGAGAGCCGGCGGAAATCGGGGCCTTCCATGACCAAGCCACCTTCGGTGTAGATTAGGCATTCAGTGGCAATGGCTCGAGCGGTCTGTACATTGTCACCGGTCACCATGCGGACTGTGACACCAGCCTTTTGTGCCTTGCGGACAGCCTCAGGCACACCGGGGCGGACAGGGTCCTGAATTCCGACTACACCGAAGAATGTGAGATCCTTTAGTAAAGAGGCGAAGTCAACACTTCCACCCTCCGTAAGCTCAGCATCAGCCGGGGGCCATTGCGGGAAATCGCGATAGACAAATCCGATGGTCCTGAGCGACTTGTTTGCGTACTCATTGATCGTGTCAGTGAGCATCGCACGTAGCTCACTCGATAATGGTTCCGTCTCCAGGGTGTCGAAATGGGCAAAGATAGAACTGAATCCCAAAAGGATCTCTGATGCGCCTTTGACAACAAGCCGATAGGTTCCGCCTTGTACCTTGACCACAGCACCCATGCATTTCTTGCCCGAGTCAAAGGGAAATCTGTGTATGACTTGCTCATTGTCGCGGGTCTCCGAGAGTGAGACAAGTCCAAGGTGTTCTTTGGCGAGCTGGAGTAGGGCAGTTTCTGTCTTGGATCCGATGAAGACTGGTTTTCCATCCTCTTGTCCTTCAAAGGCCGTGGAGTTGATTGCGACTGACTGAATAATAAGCGCTTTGGCTGCTGATGTGACTGCTGATGCCCAAGTGGAGATTGTCTGGTCTTTTTCGGACCTCGCGTCTACCTGCACAAATCTTGTGGTGCCAAATGTGCCGGCAACGACCGTCATCCTGTTTGTTGTCTGTGTTGGTGGTTAGCAAGTTTTCGCCTGAATAAAGATGTGCAGTGCTTACCAAGGTACCAGTCTTATCGGAGCAGATGGCTGTGGCATTGCCCATGGTCTCGCAAGCTCGCATGATTCGGACAAGATTGTTTTCTTTCAACATCTTCGTTGTCGCAAACGCCAATGCTAGGGTCACTGCTAAGGGAAGGCCCTCGGGAACGGCGACAACAATAATCGTCACCGCGACAATAAGGATATCCATGAAAGCTGAGCCTCTCTCGGCTGGAGTTCGACCGTCCCCAGAGATTCCTGCCACGAATCGGAACAGAAGGATGAAGAAGAGTATACCAGCGGCAGTGGTTCCAAGCTTAGCTATGGCCATAGCCAGACCACCAAGCTTTTCCTGGAGGGGAGTTGGCTCCATTTCGACGCGGACGGACATCATGATTCTTCCAAAGCTGCTGTGCTCTCCAACGGATGTGGCCATGAAAGTTCCGACGCCTTCAAGCACTTTGGCACCCGAGATGATGAAGGGATCGAGTTTCTTGGCCGATTGGCCAGATTCGAGAGCCTTCATGACGGCTGCACCGGGAGTTTTGCGCATAGCATCCGATTCTCCTGTAGCAGACGACTCATCGCACTTGACATCGGAGCCATCTATAAAGATGCCATCGACAGGGATGACATCTCCAGGTTCTATGTGTATAACATCACCTGCAAGGACATCGTAGATGCTAATCATAGAAGTCTTGCCGGATCGAGTAACCTTGATGTCTCTTTGTTCCTTCCTAGCGTTAAGCTTGGCGAACGCCTGCTCTTTTTGCCAGTCGTTCAAGGCAGTGACGAGTACGACAATGACGATGGCCACGACGATTGCACAACCCTCGACCCAGTCCACAGGGGTCGGAGAGCCTGGCGGATGATCCCCGCCAAACGTCTCATATAGACCAAGCGCGAGTGATATCACAGCCGCGACAGTGAGAACAATCAGCACTGTATCGTTGTACGCATTCCAAACAAGTCTCCAGAGCGGTGTGACCTTTTTTGCTGGGAGGACGTTTCGCCCATGAATGCGGATACGGTCCTCAAAAGGCTGTCCATTACTTGGTGGTCTACTCGATTCTATCTCCTTGGTTGGTGTTTGAGGATTCGTCGCTTCGTCGAAGGAGATATGTCGTGGCACGGTCGATTCGTCGGCACTCAATCCAGAGTGAATATCTGATTGCAAGCCGGCTGCGATGCCCTGTATACCGCCGAGCGCGTGATATACTGGCAAGGACTTTGGGTTCAATAGTTTGCTAAGTTGTGATGGTGTGAATCCGAACGGATTATTGGGAGTGGACTTGGCTTCATTACGAAGTTCTTGTTGTATAGCTGCATCGTACTCTCCTCCTACTGTCGACGCGTTGCTTATTGACGCATTGCTTGGTGATATTGGCGTTCGAAAGGGATCCGAAGTTTGTGATGTGACCGTGTCAGCCTGACTCAGCGCACGTTGTCGTGTGTTGAGTTGAAGTGTGGGTGGGGCAAGTCTGCTAGCCTCCATGTCGGATGGGGATAGACAATCACTGTCTTAGGGCTATTGAAATGCAGGTGTCTTTGTCGTATACAGCCTCGGGCTCATATGATGGATGAAGGGTCTGAACTCTAACATGACGAAGGGCGCTTTGCCGGTCGACATATACCCTTGAAGCGGGCTGTGTAGGTAAGAGTGGCCATACTCCCAAGCTTACTGGGCGCTTAGCGCGTCATTTACTTTTGCCCTAGAACAGGCCTCTCCGCCAGAGCCTTACTTGGCATACTCCATGTCCTCCCATCATCGCAGCCTTGGTGGCCGTCTCTAGGTTGCAAGGCACTGGCTGAAGAGGCTTGGTTTCGTTTACGAGAGCTCAGTCAACAACCTGCGTTGCGCTGGCAATGAGCCTTTCGGCCAATAGCTGAGATGGTCAAAAATCAATGCTGTAGTGGCCACCGGTATTGATGGCGGGATTCTCAAGACTCAAGCAAACCGTCGGTCTTGGAACGGGGCAGTGCATCCTCGGCGCTCGGTGAGGCACCGATACGATGAGATAACGCCGGTGACATTCCTACGCTGACGATCGATCACGAAGTGTATCTCGAAGCTGGAAAGCAAAGAAAGAATGACAGAGTTCTTTGTTTGCATCGCAAGGCTGCGATGTGTAGTCGGCTGGTGGGCCGTCGTGCAGGTCAGGCGCTGAGGCTAGCAAGATCGACCAGGCACAAATTTCTTTGATTGGTCATGATGAGGCTTGATAGCTGCGCCACAAAAGCTTCGCCACACTCGCCGCTGCCTATTGAGCGAGAATGCTCGTACTGTGGCAATACAGCCGTACACGTCTTAGTTTTCAATGTCTAGGCTGACCTTCTACATATTCGTCTTGAGGAAACTCGAGACCTACGCATAAGTTACCTGATGTTCTTCGCTCTTTCTTCCTCGCTCGGGTTGATGTCAGTGCTTTCGCGGTAATATTACGTGTCCCGTTAGAGATTTCGAATCTCCGTTGCGTGGTCGAGAGATGAAACAATCTCATAATGGCCCATGAATTTTTTCAGGCTGTCAAGGGGGGGTTTTCTATGTATCAAAAGTTGGCTCTGTATTTGGAAAGGCACACAGTAGTCTATAAGGGTGGCTACATCTGTAATTTCTTAAGATCTTCCGGAGCTGACGATCCGAGGTCAAACTGAAACGTCTAAGAAGCAGGGTGGTGCGGATACGCCGATACGAACAAACCTCGGACACGGACGATCCGCCGGCGAAGAAGAAAACTCACACATCAAGAAAGTTGCGCAACACACCGCCGCCACGAGATGTTGTATCAGCCTCGACTCCGGTTGGCTCATAGCAAGTCTGCCTGGCCTTGGTAGCCCCATCCACTCGGTCTTATTAGCCCTACCGTGAATGTCACATGTCGCACCCTCCGCTCCGTTCTACACGTGCCAGAGTCCATGGGTGCAACGCATTCGCCCACGCATACGCCCAAGAGTCACGTCTTCCATCCATTCGTCCAAGGGAGAGAAGAATGTCTTGCACAGCCCTGAATATCTGACGACGATGACTGTACTCGCCGTGGCGCATTGCCCAAGAGAAAACTGCCGAGACAGGTGTCATGACGACTGCCTCAAGTTGTGGCTGATATTGATTGTGGCGCATTGCCCAATTCGCCTCAATCTTCCTGTGCAGTCATACGTGGCGAAGAGTCTCATTGAACCTTGTTGCTATCAAGGAAATCCAGTCTAAACAATTGCCACCACTTTCGCTGCTAAGGTTCTAACAGTGCCTTACGAATTATGACGTCCGCCTAAACAGCAGGCGCTTCGACGTACTCCATCTCTCTTGTCTTTTTAAAACGAACACTGCCCTATCTCAATAGCTCTCCAAAGGTAACCGGATCACCATCTTTGACATAGTTCTCTGGCATGCCCAGCAAGGTCCGACAGTGAAGTGAGTGCGTCAAGCCCTTTCTATGAGTGATCTTTTGCAGTACTCTCTGTGCAAGCATCTTCGATATCAAGCTCTCAGCCTTCTTGTACCCTGTACTGTTTTCATTAGATTCTACTTTCATAGCGACAGCCTTCAACAGGTCTTCTCCATAAAATCCGATAGTGTTCTCTGTGGGCAGATCCTCTGATAGCGCATCCCATAACAGCACCTTGTTCGCCCAGTAATTGACGCCATCGGAGCCGCTGTTGGGTTCCTGTAACTAGGTCAGACGCGACAAAATGATTCACAATATACTGCGCAAACATGAATGGTGTGGTGCCGGTGAAGGGTCAGTCCTTATCCGCAAGTTGGTCCCAGCAGACCTTGTCGAGGCGTCAGAGGAGGATGCAGTCAGTCAATATCCATCCAAACTCCGCCTCACTGCTCCACGTAGAAAGTCAGCACTTTGTGGCTCTACGTAGGGGGCTGTCATAGTTCCTTTGACGAAGTTTCTAGAAGATTTTTGGGAGTAATCCAAGTCAAAGCATGATTTGGTGAGTTGGGCACCGTATCGAGTACACCTACTGTCCAGTCGGGTTCGTAAAGACGCACCCAGTTGATGATGTTACGTTGACTCCAGGTAGGCATATTTTAGATTCTAAAGTACCAGTAGGTCCAGATGTTCTTTTCGGAAGTAATGGGAGCATGGCGCGTCAAAGAATTAAGGATCTCGGAGTCATTCCTTGTGTCATTGGATCCAACGTAGCGAATGTTTGTTTCATACTATTCTGCGATTTAGAATTCATGGTTCGCCATCTTGGACATGTGAAAAGGCTGTGATGTTCAGCCGCACCAGGCAGCCATCGCTTGCTTCGGGAAAGATCCATATGGTTACATGCAAATAGGCAATGGCAAACACTGAGTATCCCTCCGAAGCGACTAGACCTACAGCACCAGGCACATATAGAGGTAAGAGTGAAGAAGCTCGGTAGAGCTCTCGTCAAGATCATCTAATCGATGGTACGCCAGGGATGGGTATCGTGGTACTGTAAAGGAGATGAAAATCTCAGCGCGCACGCCAAAGAATCCATCTCCTATACCCCCCGCAGCAACAAGATGAGCCGTGAGACCATCAAGGCATTTATATCCAACTGATGCTCAACAAACTATTTGTCTTTACCATTAGGGAAGACTTACATACATGGACTGCATGACTACTGGATGAGCAGAGACCGTGCTACGATACATGGTATCCCCTACTATATACCCTTCACAGTATCGGTTACTCCCACACCCAGGAGACCCCCGATAAGCGGTAGTATCGCAGATGTACGACACTGCAGTGAGTATCATCGGTAGCAATATTCATTCCGGTCTGCTCAGAAGTACTGGCAGTAATCACAACGCGTTGTTTCATGCCGACACACTGGTAAGAACAACGGACGATATCAGTTTTTGGGGGATATTGATCCTCGGTCTACTCCTAAGCCCCTGCTTCAAATCGCATAGTAGTCACGCGATATAGAATTTGCCACATGAACATTCGAAGTCAGGCGAGTCCGGTTGACTGGCTATGATACTCCTGCGGGGCATTCAATGATGGAAAAAGTGGGATTAGGTAGTAATCAAGCACGCTTTGGCTCTGTAGCTAGCACTATCAACATTTTCTTGCGATGTAGATGGTCCATTCTGATAGACCCAGAACATTCAAACTTAATCGTTTCCATCCCAAAAGTGTTGTAGACCTTGCGACATTCAAATGTACTTGCGGTCGAAACAAGCACTCGTTTGTGGTTTCCAGTCTCTCTTGCGCAATCTATACCGATTGCGTCTCCACTGCCTCTCCTATCTCTTAGTCGCAACCTTCAACCGTTGAATACCTTTTGCTAACTTGGCAGCTTCGAAATGAATTCTTATGGTATCTAATGCTTGTTGCACATGGGTGTGATCTTCATTGGTTGGGTGCATGGGCATTGTCACGGGCTGTTGAGATGACGTTCTAGGGGGGCTGGAGTGATTATCTGCGGATACTGGAATCCGTAGTGCTCATGTGGTAGGATACATATGTACATAGTGAATGGTAATCATGTGACGAGAGGTACTGGGACCGAGGTAATCCGTCGCGTCGATGTAGTTCTCACTGCTACGGTACCTGCTTCTTCAAGCCCAGCTGACTGATACGTGTACGAAAGCAAAGCAGATATTGGCTGGTCACATTCTGCCTATGTGGCGGCTTGTTGTTCCACACGTTACAAAACCCTTCCGTTGAGGCTGCATAGCATGGTCATTGGGTGTTACGGTTGTTCAGATTCACCGTCTAGGCAGATGGCCCGAGCAGAATCATCTGGTACCGCCATTGTTACGAGTCAATATGAGCAAACAGAGACTCCGATGTGCGAAGGTCATGTTTTGTCTTGATCCTCACGTCGCAAAGCTGCAAAGATCATGGAAATGCAGGGATAGATTTTCATATCACAGCTTTTTACACTTTTGTCCCAAATGGAATCTCATTGATCTCGTAACATATAGATATGCTTCGGTCGTATCCTTTATCGCTTTCCATCATATCTATAGCTCGGCCTTCTCCGCTTCGACACCGTCAATGGATACAAGCTCCGACTCGAAGACTATCATGTGTTAGACTAGGGCGATAAGCGACGTATTCACATGGACTCACTCAAGACGCTATTGGGGCCTATGGGCCCAGCACCACGCGTACCATAGGCCCACTCGGGCTGGATGGTGAGTTTCCTCTTCTCGCCAGGGCACATGTCAAGCAGACCCTGGTCCCAGCCCTTGATGACCTGGCCTTGACCGACTGTGAAGGCCAAGGGCGAGCCGCGGCCGTATGAAGTGTCGAATTCGCTGCCGTCCTTCTCGAGAGTACCGCGGTAGTGTACGTGGATATTGTCGCCAGCCTTTGTCTTACGCTTGCATTCCTTGGGCGTGATGACTTCGGTCTTGAGGTGCTGTAGGATTGGTCAGTACGCCACCCATGTGCCGTGCGGTGAGGTATAGCTAAACTTGCCTCGTTGTTGATGATTTCGCCAGTCACGACGGCAACGGCCAGGGCGAGGACAAGTGTAATCTTCATGGTGTGATAGAGAATTTCTGGTGATACTTGGAGTCGGTGTGTGGACGATGTTCAGCGCAAGGCGACGTTGCAAGGGAAGTATGCGGAGAAAGGCGGCCCTCTTCCGTGTGGGGAAAATCGCCAAGCTGCCATCTGGCCCCTTGACACGCCCGTGATTGGATAGCGCAGCACTAGCCTCCAACCTCACTAGACTTGACAACCATCATACCAATCTTGCACCTTTCTCTCAGACTACCGTGCCTTCTGTACAGGGCTTACTATCTTCTACAGCGTTGTGGCTTATCCGCAACGTCAACGAGACTCGCACTTCACTACGCGAGAATATGGTTGCAATCAACACACGCTTTTTGCATCTCATTCACGTCACAAATTTCGCAGTTGCTTAGGACAATTACTCCTTGATAGCGCAGATGATGCCCGAATCTGCACAAACACTTTTTCCAAGCAAGCGCCCTTATTATAAAGTCCCTGAATGAACCTGTAGTCAACCTTTCCCACTTGCTCCATTCTTCCAGTCATACAAAGAGCTCTCTATTTTGCTATATCCAGGTCCACTGCTCAAGCCTGCACTGTTTTTAGTGTCTATCGACTGTCTGTGTTCTTCTTTGGCATACAAACTTCCCCTGACATGGTTCCCAACCCCAAGGATATGCCTGGCGAGATCAAGAGCAAGTCGCCAGTGCGCGAGCCACCACCCAATCCACGAGATCAGCCCATGCATGGTCGTCCGGGTTACACCGTAGGGCAGCATCTCGATGAGTTTGAGGACTCAGACTTTGACGAGATTGTGTACACGACTCTTCATAGAAAGCTCAGTACGCCAGGACTAACGCTGCCTGTATCCAAGGCACACGCCGACAAGGCCGCTTCGCCACAAGGAAAGATCAATGTAGACGATTGCATGAACAACTTACAGAACAGACGCATCAAAAAATTACACACTGAAGAGTTACGCAAGCGTATAATTCAGAGCTCCAGGCAAGATCAAAAGAAAAAGCGAGAGAATGTTGCAGCAGAGACGACATCGAGGTAGCCAACGCTTGTTTACGGCGTTACGACAGACCGCAAAAGCAGTCAAAGCTCCGCATGGTAGCATCCCCTTGCCTTTCGCGACTTTGCCGTTTGGCAATTGTTCAAACTTTCCAGCTCTTGCACACTCTCTATCTGCAGAGCGTGGTAGGATACTTGGCGCAGAGCGACATCACTATAGCATCGCTCTAAGTATACCAATTCATCGCTTCATTCCCCCGTGTTTCTTCACAGTGTAACCTCATATATCTCTTATATACTGCCCTTCTCTTCCGAATGCGGATAGTAAACCAGGCGCGCGCGCACCGCAACCTGCTCGGCTCCACACTGCCCGCGGCCTTGTCCTTTCACTTGCACGTCATCGCCCAATTACGACACCACGGTGTAGGGTGCACGGACTGTTGCGCGTGATGGCAGCTTTCATTGCTTGGCAGCGAGCTACCTACGATAATATAAACACACCTTACTCCTCACCAATCCCTTCCCACTCCACTGCACTCACGAGCTGCAACGCACCTAACTACCCCAAGCTTAACAGTACTGCAACACGGTAACTTTCTCATCACCCTCTCGAACATCTCACTCCTTTCACACTTACACAGATTCCCCTCCCTTCACACATCAATCGCGACTACACAACCATGACCTCCATGAACAATCGCACCACCACTTCCGCCGCTGCGACTTCAGATGCTACCTCCTCTCCACCAAAGCGCGACTTGATCAAAGCCAAGATGGCGTGGAAACAAGTTTATGTTTCCAAGAAAGATGATCTCTAACAGCTCAGTGGTATCGTCGGGGCTCTTCAAGCAATCATAGAGTCCATGGGCAATGGTTCGGACTTCTCCAGCAAGTCTGAGCTGATCGAGAATCTTTCAGTTTGTCAAGATGGCTGCAAAGATATCCGCAACAATATCAAGGGAGAGACAGAGCGAGCGTGGAATGCGTACAAGGCGTTCAAGAGCGAACACGCAGATATCCGCCGCGACAAGGCCCAAGACACCCTCATGTCGCAGGCCGCAGCGATCCTGCACGTTGTCGACGAGATGATGACCGTCGGACAACTGCGAGTGATGTTGCTGACCAGCATGAACACCTTTCGCCCCAAGAAGGTAGGTACATCACGTTGTGAAGACCACATTTGGCTAATATGTTTATATCATGAAGGAAGATAAACCAGTCACCAAGGTCGGCTCCTCCACCCACATCAACGCCAAGAAGGAAGATAAACCAGTTACCAAGGCTGGTTCCTCCATCCCGAATAACGCTCAGTTGGCTGCGAAGCCATACGTCGACCGCGGCTTGAAGCCCGCTCCCTCGGCTACGAAGATCAAATACAAACAAGTGCCTGTGTCAACCCCCGCAGCTAACACCGTCCCCATTGTTAAGCCTCAAGAGAAGGCTAACATGGTTACTTCAAAGACAGTCGGGAAGAACACGACAAAGCAGCGAGTCAAGTTCTCAGATTACATTGTTCAAAAGGCATCGAAGAAGGTACCCGCAGTTGCACCACCACCAATATCGCGCACCAAACAACAGCGAACCGCCATGGGTGATCAAGTAGTTCCATCTACTAAGACCCACGTGGACAACGCCGATCAAAAGATGGGAGGTGACGAAGCTTCCGAGGTTTCCATGAGTGTATCTCCTGAGACTGCACCTGCGCTGATTGAGAAGCCCAAGGATGACGATATGACTGAGGCAGTCGTGGCCACAATTGATAGCACTAAAGTGGTAGAGTCCTCCAGTGTTGGGAAGACAGCTGATAGCACTGCTACTGCTGTCAAAGATGCTAAGACGGCTGCGGCTAAGCTAACCTCTTCAAACCCCTCTGAGAACGACAAAGTCGGTATATCAGAAGAGATGACTCATGGCACTGTCTCTGCTCTCGATGATGCCAAGAAGCTCACACCCTCTGTCTGCCTTAAACCCTCACAAGCTGGTGATGCTGGTACTTCGAAGAAGCAGCAAAAGTCTAAGACACCACCAGCGAAACCGATCCGCTCTGGATTCCGACAGCCCGGCCAACTAGGCATAGCCCGCCGCGTTGATCGTAGAACGAAGAAGACTCCTCCTCAGGAGGAAGTCGAATCCGATCATGCGTCTGAGTCTTCTGATGATGAGGCTTGGCTAGGGCCCGCTGGCTTCATCTCAGCTGGCCGAGTACCGAAGCCTAGGGTGCAGAAGACTAAGAACGACGAAAAGAAATCCATTCGCAAGAATGACGAGGACGAGACGCGAGAGTCTCGCAAACCCGTTCCGAAGACGTCTAGGAAGTCCGTCGGCTGCACCAAGGAGGGTCTCAAAGACGCCAAGATGAAGACTCCTGCTAGCACTGTTGCTCCTGTTAGCACTATCACTCTTCCTGGCACTGGCACTCCCGCTGGCCCTACTGCTCCTGTTGGCACTATTGTTCGTGCTGGCACTGCCTCAAAGAAGATCATCACACCTTCCTTTGGAGCAGGTCCCAAACCAAAGATCCGGTATCGCACACTCCCTGCACCATCCAACCCACCAAAGCGCAAGCGCGGAGGTGATGATGATGAAGACGAGGCTCTTCCGCCGGCGAAGGTCCCTCGCAAGAACGCGGCGATGAGGGTATGTGAACATACTACTGACGTTATGATACTTTGACTAACAAAGAGACAGACGCGACGCGCTTGATCTATCTAGACGGCAGTTGCCATTAAGATAGACTCGCAGTCTACATCTTTCGCTCCCATCCCCATCCCCAACGTACCCATGATACCTCTGTGTCGACAGTTCGTCAAACACCTTCGACTTGGACTTGGGTCTTGTTGACTTGAGTCCCGCTGGGTTTGATGATGAGTTGTAGACACGCGCACATTTGAGATGTGTGGGCACGACGACTGTGTGCAGTTATGGCGGACGATTTTTTTTCCTTTCATGATACCCAACAGTCCTTGCGCTGTTTTCAAGTTTTATATACCCAGGGCTTTGGCGTTCATCTTTTTCCTTACTATCATAGGGTCAATACCCAAGGAGTTTTGTGTTCTTTCACATGATCTATACCCAAAAGTGTTTGCATCTTGGGAAAAACGGTTGATATCCCCTACGACGGCGTTCGGTATCTTGTGGCTTTTCCGGGCTAGGATTTTGGAGTTTTCATATTATTTCTTTGTATGACACAGCGGGGGCAGCGAGCATTATCGCGGCACCTGAAGCGTTGATGTTGTGAAATCTTGTAGATCTGCTTGCGACACTTCGCGGCGGACAATCAAAACTATCTTTTGTTTCGAAATAGCTGTGCCTTTGATGACCGTAGCAATGCTGTGTCGATACTAGGTGACCGAGTTAGAGAAGCAATATATATATGCACCGATAGCCGCAATCATAAAAATCTGCCCTTGTTAGTCAATCACTCCATAACGCATCACATCCTCGCCTTCAATCGTCATCCAGCGCTGGTATGGACTTCTTAACTGAACCTTGTATTGTACAAAGCACTGACTATATTGATACACTGGCGAGCTATAAGGAAGTAGCCACCCGGGCCCTTGTTCTAAAGTCTCAAGCCATACCGCGGGTTATTGGAGAACCCACGTCACCGCCCCTATCCAAGCGACGTTCCAAGAAAAAAGAAAGGAAAGAAAAAGAAAAAGAGATAGCACACTAGCTGACCCAGAACCGTAGCGTGTTCATGCCCGCTGCTTTGAAACCACTGGATATCCCCCCCGAAAAAAAAGGAAGTTTCGTGAAAAGATAATGATACATCAAACGTGAGCGCGTGCCACACTCCAAAACTCCCTTTTCCCTCCTAACCATCGACCTCTTTGCTGTCAAAGAGAAAGAAAAAAAAGCCAACAAAACTTAGTAATACGTCAACTTTTCCAAGCCGATCATGCCTTCCTCTCGCCCCTTGGGCTTGACTTCTCTCAGCAGCCCAAAGTCGGATGCTACTGCACCCTGCGCTGGGATTGGTGGCGCAACTACATCCTCTGTTCCCTTTGCAGGGAATTCCTTTACGCACTCGAAGCTACCAAACGTCGGCATGTTTGTTGAGATGCCGGGAAAACGTAGAGATTTGATTGCGTCGCCCTTGCAGTCTGTCCGTGTGTAGAGAGTACAGATGGACCCTTGGTCCGGACCAAGTGATTCGATGCCGCCACCGCCGCCTTGGATGTGGCATACGGTATTTGGCTGCGTCCAGCTGCATATACCGGAGAAGTTTGGGTCGGTGCAAGTGTAGTACGCGCCTGGGAGGCCGCGACGCATGAGGTGGTGCGTTGGGAAAGCTGAAACGGAGGCGCTGGTAGTGAGGATGGCGATGAGCGTCATGAAGTTTGTATACATGTTTGATGGGCTTAGTCTGAGGATCGATGATTAAGAATTACTTGAGGGTTGTTGTTTTGGCCCTGCTGTTGTAGGTTTGTAGGTTTCTGTCAAAGAATATGGGGGGTCGATGTTTCGGATTATCCGATGACAGCGTGGGGAAGTTTATGACTGTGCTTCGGTTCTTTGTGAGCCATGGATAACTAGAGTGGATGTGGGCGCGTGTCCCTGCGCTTGTCTTACAAAGAGACTTCTTTGTTGTCGTACCTTTTGGGCTAAAATGACAGTGTTGTGCGTCAAGCACAAAGGCAAAAGGCTGGTCTCTTTGTCGCCAACAGCAAACATCTGCAAGGAGATGTATAGGTGTCGTGATCAGCTCCATGGCGAAAATGCGCCACGAATGCTCAACGGGCCATGGAAAAATGACGGAATAGCTAGAAATGAACGAGATGATAAAAACGGCGCGAAATTAGCCGGAAAGTTAGAGATGCAACGAGAGTAATATGCGATGGGATGACACGGGTGCGGTCCGCGGCACTGGTCTGACATGGGAGGGTTGCCCTGTGTGAAACGTCGATCCGGCCGGGCTAATGAAGGATGCAACCAAAATGGTCGCAGTACTCGCAAGCCTGAGCCCCAACTCGTCTTACAGGCGCATTTATTTTGCGGCTGACCAACCTACGGTCACCTAGCTGGTGGTGTTAATGTTCGCTGCCAAGCTGTCGTTCCCAGCGTATGCCCGCACTTGGCCTCGTCAGGTATGACATGGGCGAATGGACTATGATCGTCAGGAACAAAGTTTTCGCATCGCTGCAACGGCGTGTTTCCTGTTAAGAATATGAGGGTGTTGATTGATGTCATGGATGATGATGGCGATCATACTGAAAGTGAGCCTGTTGTTATCGCAATCGATGTTGGTTGGTGTTGGCCCACGCTGACCGCGTACCCACACCCACTGAACTATGTGGATTTCACATTCCACAAATCATGGAAGGACAGATGACATAAAGGAGTTTGCGCACAAGGTGGCTTGTGAGATCGTAGCAGCAACAGTTTATCCAAGATGGGACGAATTATTCGTGGTCTTTTAGCCTCAATGTTCCCATTCGCCGTGTGCGCCGACGTTTACTTACTGAACGCCTTGAACCTCGTGACTTTGGCACTCTTGCGACCCGTGCACCTCTTGATCTTACACCAGCCGCTAGTGGAACGCTTCCCAAAGGCTGGTACTACTATGGGTGCTGGACATATGGATCAGGAAGGCTGAGCAAAACTTTTCACTGTTCTCTCCAATCCTCGTTCCATCTGATATATAGAAAGATAACAAATCGTTTCAGGGATCTAGATGACGGAACGCGTGTTCTGAACGGCCCGGCGAGATTTGCGAATGCCGGTAACGGTGGTGCGAGCTGTGCTCAGTATTGCACCGAGAACGGATACGAATACGCGGGAACAGAGCTTTCCGATCAATGCTGTACGTCTGCTTCTTACCTTTGACCGAAGTTTCGGCTCAGCTCTAGTGAGTTCCCAGTTTGTGGCAGTGACCTCCTCTCCATACCAACGCAAAGTGTTAGTGGTTCGGATTGCAACTACGAACGTACTGGCGCACTGGGCGAAGCCTGTGGAGGTGTGAACCGCATGTCGGTGTATATAACACTTCCTAAGGATGCAAGTCAGCTTCCAGAAGGTCTTCCGGATGGTTTTGGTTATGCCGGGTGCTATATGTACGTATAGTATAGCTATGGATTACTAACTTGTACCGAACATTTTGCTGACTGTAACTCCGAGCAGCGGTACTATCACATTGGCGTTTCTTGGGTTCAACGGCCGGTCCGTGACAGCACAGAAATGCATGACTTACTGTACCAGTGTTAATAGAGGTAATGCCATCGCAGCCACTAAAGGCGAATCATGCCGTAGGTGTTGTTTTGCGCCAGCTTGCCTACCAGACGACTGATCGTTTTAAGAATGCGCTCAAGATCTTTCGGGGCTGACGATCGGACTGCCCACTCAGTGCATAGGATCATGCATGTCTCGACCGATTGAGGCTTGCGGTGGGTTGGTAACGTATTCTGTGTATCAGCGGGTTAAGGTGTGTACTCTGTTCTCTTAGCATCTTGGTCTGTGTATCAAAAGCTCTGTTCGTGAGACTCGTGCTTGCACTCCCTTAGCCTTGATCAGGCATTTCACCATTAGTAAAGAGGGGCGATGGCTGGAGATGGTGGAGAGAAGATGCTTGGCAGTAGGCGTTGGTTGTGGTGTGCGTCTTGTGTGGAGATATGTTCTATCATGCGTTGTTTGGCCGAATTTGTATGATACAATGCAAAGCGAAGTTCCCCAGGCGCTTGAGACATGCCTTCCCTTCTGGAACGCGGCAATTTTGGATGCCTTATGGCACCTGTTCCATGATGAGTTGCGTGCTCCGACGTGTCCAAACGCAATGCGTTTGGCCTAGGCCCAAAACGGACAGTAGGAGTGATACGCGTCCAGTGGGTGGAGGGGGTTTCGTCGGTCACCTGCGGACAGACGGGCGCCGAACATGTTCTTTGAACGCGCGGAGTGAAGCTGGTGAGCGAGGGAGGATGGAGGCAGCGGCGATGAAGGAGGTCCAAGCGTGAGACGGAGCGTCATCGGCGGTTGAGGGGCCGCGATCGCAAACAAAAACATGCAGGCAATCTCGTGAGTATCTGTAAGATGCCCATATGCCCTCATGTTGGTAGCTTCTCGACGCTTGTGCTTCTTGCGCCGTGCGCTAATCACTCGCTGTAACTACAGCACCGCTAGCATGGAGAAAGGTGACTATGCGGTATGTCCGAGTTGTTACATGCATGGTGAGTAGACACGGCGCTGATGGAGGTAGGCTGCCGTCGCGGCCTTGAACACGCTGCAGTCCAACTTTTCCATTGTCGACGCCATCCGCAAGTCTGGCCGAGGCATGAACAAGCAGGCGATACCAGAGATGCTCGAGTGGTGTCGCAAGCTTGGATATGAGGTGTGCGGCGTCCGCCAAGCCCACCTGGCCGTCACAACTAATCAAATGCTGTAGCCCTCTGAGTTCGATCGTCTGAAGCCAATTCACATTGCGGGAACCAAGGGAAAGGGCTCCACGAGTGCTTTCATATCTTCAATCTTGTCGCAATACGCATCCTCAGCCGACGCCCAAACGCCCCCCTCGAAGATCGGACTGTATACCTCGCCGCACCTGCGATCTGTTCGTGAGCGCATCCAGATCAACAATGAGCCCATATCAGAGTCAGATTTTGCAAAGTACTTCTTCGAGGTATGGGACCGGCTAGAGGCAGCATCCAAGGCTGAGGACGCGCCAGGAGACGTTCCCACAAAGCCCGTCTACTTCCGCTACTTGACGCTCATGGCCCTGCACGCATATCTGAAAGAGGGTGTAGACAGTGCAGTCATCGAGTGCGGAATTGGCGGCGAGTATGATAGCACCAATATCTTGACCAAGCCTACTGTTACCGCCGTCACGAGTTTGGGAATAGATCACACAGCCATGCTGGGCACCACGCTTCCTGAAATTGCCTGGCACAAGGCGGGAATCTTCAAGAAAGGTAGCGTCGCCTTTACAGCGCCGCAAAAGGACGAGGCTATGGCGGTTCTACGAGAGAGGGCTGCTGAGAAAGGCACAACTCTGCACACCATCGACATACATCCTGCTTTGGCCAACAACGAGGTCAAGTTGGGGCTGGGTGCAGTCTTCCAAAAGATCAACGCCTCTGTAGCCATTGCAGCAGCAGCGGCGCATCTCCGCGCACTCGGTCATTCCACCGTACCGGATCCGACTGCGGTTCCACATATCAGGCTTCCATCGGAGTTCGTCCGCGGACTTGAGCAGGTCCGCTGGGCTGGTAGGTGCGAAATTCGACGTGAAACGAATGTTGCATGGCACATCGACGGCGGTCATACCATGGAAAGCATAGAGGTCACTGGCCAGTGGTTTGCTGAGCAGATGGCAACTGCCGCAACGTCGCAGTCCAAGGTTCCCCGCATCTTGATCTTCAACCAGCAGACCAGAGACGCAGGCGCACTCGCCAAGGGCCTGTATGCAGCTTTGCAAGCCGGTGTAACGTCCGGGCCGCAATCACCCTTCACACATGTCATCTTCACAACAAATCAGACATTCAGCGAGGGTTACAAGCCTGATCTTGTATCCATCAATACGAATCAACAAGATGTAGATACTTTGGCAGTGCAGAAGGCGCTTGCCAAGACATGGACGGAGATTGACAGTACAGCAGAAGTCCACGTGCTGCGTACAATCGAAGAGGCAATCGGAACCGCAAGAGGCGTGGCCCGAGACTATGCGAAAGATGCTGGTCACGAGACAGAAGTCATGGTGTTGGTCACTGGAAGCTTGCACCTCGTTGGGGGTGCGCTCGAAGTTCTAGAGACGCAGGCCACGCAGTAAAAATTGATACCCACGGATAGCAATGTAGTGAAAGCGCTTCAACATGCGCTAACCTTTTCAAGGCGACCAATGCAAAATTAGATCTATGGCTACATCTGTCGAGCAAGAGATGACTACGTAAAAAAGCATGCTATTGCGACTTTTATCGAGGAAAGTTTCGTTATGGAGGTACCGCAGCAATGTGCTTATAGTATAGCTTACAAACTCGACTGCATAGACCTGAGACATCGAATCACTTACTGAGCATACGACGTTCTGCAGCCTACCCAAGCTCCTCGGCATAGCCATCTTGGTATTCAAAAGCGTTCATCTACGGGAAAAATCGGGCTCGACATTCCAGGCTCCACCAACCGCACGTCATTACGTACTGAACAGAAGCCGGAATATCCGGACCTGAGTGTCAACACCGCAATACGGTGCAAGGATCGAACCGGAAATTGCACAACAGATTCTAAAGTACATTGAGCAAGCCTCATCAACAGCACATAGTCTTGTCTCGTGCGTCAGCCCTTCCGGTTGTTCTCGCGTATTACAAGACCTCCGGAGCCATCCGGGTTGGTTTACGCACCAGCTAGTAATCGCGATGTAGATGAAATCAGTCGATCCGATGATCTTCGATGACTTTAAATTGCTGTGGCTTGTGGCTGACTACGGTTCAACTCCACATGAGTACCATATAGGGTTGCTAGATGAACATCTGGAGTTATCAAGCAAGCGTAGCACTGACATGGAGTATCGAACAGTCAGACATTCAACAATCAAACAGTAACTTGAAGTTATCGGACGTCTTCGAGCCAAGCAGATTGATCTATATCGCGAATACCAGCTGCCGCGCAAATCATCACGTTTGTTCTCGCGTGGCGTCCTCCAGACTCGGTTGTCTTGGCACTCGGCGACATCCTCTAATTGGGTAACAACGCAGCGGAAGAGCCGCTAGCCGGTCACCACTACCTTTCTTAGATGTCATATACCCCGACATCCTTTCCATCATCATCCGTCTCCGCGCCATCCTTCCAACCTCGTTCATCCTCTGTGCTTGACCTGTGAAACAGCTTCCAACCTACTCGACGCCGTGACTTCCCCTTTATCCCTTTGACAGCCGAGCAGTGCTAGTTCCACCATGAACTGTCCTTCTAGAACCGATGATGACGTCCTTTGGCACCCCGGATGGAACCAGAACCCACCACGTTGGGCCGCTGACCTTACGACTTGCGCAGATCTCAATGGTATCGCCAATGCAAGGGAGCTGGGAGAAGCAGATCGACTGTGCAGTAAGCAGAATCTCAGACGCGGCGAGCTGGATGACTTCAATGGCCAAGATACGGAAAAGAAAAAATCGGTCACGATGGGGGAGGGTGTCAAAAGGTCCCTAACAGGTAAGTTGCATTCAACAAAGCAGATACATTTGGATTGGTATGCTAACGGTTTCTTTTTGCAGGACCCTGCACCCGAACAACCGCGCACGTGAGCGAGCACCAAGCTGGGCTCACCGCTAGTGCTTTCAGCTGGGCAAAGTGGCTTTTCTCTGTACTTTGTACTTCGATTCTTGTTTCTTACGCTAATGGCAAATTATCTGCGCCCAAATTCGTTGTTGATCGAGGTAAGTTGAAAGTCTTGCAAATGCTACGTATGGGCGCGTGTTGATGAACATTCACAGACACATCATACCAGCGACTTCCTAAACGAAGCACTTGCGAAAATGGCAAAGCGCAACCAGACTACAACTTGGGCCTCCATGTCGCTGGCCTCTTCATCATCCTGTTTGTGTCGGGCACCGGCTGTGCTTTTCCAATGCTCGTTCTCCGATTTCCACGTCTACGCATTCCACCATCTTTTCTGTTCGGCGCCAAGCATTTTGGTACCGGCGTCCTAGTCGCAACTGCATTTGTCCATTTACTTCCCACAGCTTTCATTTCCCTGAACGATCCATGTCTCTCGAGTTTCTGGACTACAGACTACCAGGCTATGCCCGGTGCCATCATGCTAGCTAGTGTCTTCTTCGTCACATTAATCGAGATGGTCTTCTCTCCTGCCCAGCACGTCTGCGGTGGAAACGAAGGAGTAACCGCCGTGTCGCGACGTGCAGAAGAGCCTAAAATAGAGATTGATCCACCAGCCGCACCGCACGCAGAATTGCAGAGACAATACTCAGACAACAGTCTGCGAGTCCGCGATCTAGGCGCTCTCCGTGGCCGAGTCGGCAGCATCAGTAGAACACTCTCGCGCTACCACGAAGATGGTCAAAACGCCAATGCAATCCACCTCCGCAACGAAGCCAGCAAGGAGGCCCGCAACGATTCAACCGTGAAGCACGACCAGGAGTCCGGCGAGCACACCCACGTCCTCACACCGGACCAACTCCACCGCAAAGCAGTCATGCAAGTCTTTCTCCTCGAAATGGGCATCCTCTTCCACAGCATCTTCATCGGCATGTCCCTCGCCGTTTCCGTAGGCAGCGACTTTACAGTCCTCCTCATCGCAATCGTCTTCCACCAGACATTCGAGGGCCTCGCTCTTGGCGTGCGTATCGCGGATATTGATTGGAAACCACGTGCTGCACAGCCGTGGCTCATGGCCCTTGCATATGGCTGTACCACGCCCGGTGGCATGGCGATTGGTATCGCGACACATACTTTGTACTCGCCCGACTCGGAGGTTGGGCTCTTGGTTGTGGGTATCATGAATGCGGTGTCTGCGGGCTTCTTGGTGTATGCGTCCCTTGTGGAATTGTTGAGTGAGGATTTCTTGAGCGACGAGAGTTGGAAGGTTCTTAGGGGACGGAGGAGGGTGGGGGCTTGTTTTTTGGTCTTTTGGGGTGCTTTTTTGATGAGTTTGGTGGGGGCTTGGGCGTGATTCCCACGTTGGATGTTGGGGGGATGTTGGGGGGATGTTGGGGGGATGTTGGGGGGATGTTGGGGGGTTAGGGGTTGAAATTGGGTGTTGGTGAGTCGTTTTTAGGGGTAATTACGGTAGGGCGATGCTGATTGTGGAAAGAAATACCTGTATGGGAACAGTTCTGCCATGCAACCCATAGAAGTATGTAGGAATTGATTGTCTCTGGAACGTGGGCATATTGTACCACACCATCCATGCCCTTCAGTCCTGCCCCATACATTCCATCAGCGTATGAGTGAACGAATACCCCGGTTGCTTCTGGCCATACGTAACGACAGCCTCGCCCTCGTCTCCATCCACATAGGTCTTCCGCATCACCAGCTGGTCCCATGTCCCGTCCACCCACTCGACAAACTCCTTTTCCTTTGATACCAGAAACGACGAGTCTGTAACATGAGCGCCCACGCGCGGATTATGAACCTCCTTCACCACTCTCTTGAACCCAGCCCCTCCATTCCCGCGGGCCAGAAAAACATCCAACCCAAATCTCACCGACTGAGCCACACTAACAAAGACGAAAACAACACCCGTAACCAACGCAACCCTCACCTCCCCTTTCCTCCTCTTAACCCCTTCATCCATCATCTTAGTCAGACTCTCAACCATCGCATTCGGAATCCGTCCCGCAACCCTCTTCCCCTTCTTACTCTTCAACGGCCCATCTTTCGGCATCCAATAGACCTTAACATCATACCTACTCACTTTCCTTAGCCAAGCATGCTGCTTCACCAGCTTATTAAGATGCGTCTCCACTTTCCTGTCCCAATCTGCTTGCACAAAGGAATTCACGCGGCCGGTGAATTGCACACCGATGCACAGCTCGACGGCGTTGGAGAGGAGCCAAGTGCGGTATTCGGCTGCTTCGGGGAAGATATCATGGGGCAAGGAGAGGAGGCCGGCGGATCCGTGGTGGACGGGGAGGATTTGGATGGTGGTGTGTTTGCAGGTGTAGGTTTTGAGGACCAGGGGGAGGCTGGTGGTTTGGGCGGGGGTAGAGGTGTTGTCGGGGGTGGAGAGGTAGGTGTATATTTCTTGTCGGAGTTCTGGGGGTAGGTTGGGGAAGAGGAGGTATGTGGGTTTGGACATTTCGGTGGCTGTGGTTGGTGTCTTTGAGCGAGTATGGGGGCTGGATATGGGTGGTTGGAGGGCACTGGGGTTTTTTTTAGGTACTTAGGAGGATGCTGGTAAATCCCTTTACTGGCTTTGAGACGTCGTTGTATGCGTATGTGGAGCTGGTAGTACTGATGTTGAGGAGTTCAGAGGTCGGAGGTATAGGATATACTTAGTCCAAGTTCGTAGTGGGTGACCACAAGCGATGTTCAGCGGGTCTATTGTCAGGTCGATTAATACAATAGCGGTTTTGCCAAGACGTCTTGTGGTGAATGCGGATCTAATCACGTGATACGACTATTCGCTACCCCAAGTGTAAAGCCACCAAGACCAACAAGCTCATGCATTGTTAGTATTACCTCCATGGTCTCTTTGTAGGAAAGTAGCTATACCTTATTTTCCAACCAAGATAGTAGGGAATCGAAGCTCTAGAAAATTTGCTTTCCGGGGAACGGAAGTTTTTCAAAGTGGTCCCTTTTCGGCAGCAGCTCGGCAGCTTGCGCTTTTAGGAAACGTCCACGATGGAACAATCTGTTTGTTTCGTTGAGGATATTGCTATCCGATTGAGCGTCGATTTCCTATTATGTTCTGATCTTACAATCGTTAGGATTTTGCGTACTTCGTTGCGCTCCTATTTCTTCGATCTTTTCGATCATGTACAGAGTAGAATTTCATACATGGAGATGTGTGCGTAAGCCCTTGGTACGGCATATGTTTGCTCCCCTGGTTTTGACTATATATATCATGTTGAAATTTCGAGCCCTGGGTGGCCCAGAGGCGGGTTGTTGGTTGAAAATTGGTCATGGCTCCAAGGGAACCGTGGAAAGAAATTGTAGACTAAGAAGATGACATTGCGTTTGCTTGAGAAGGTGTAGATGGGTGAACGTGATGAAAAGCAAAATTCAAGACGTAAATAGCCGAGTTTATAAGTGTATCTGCTATATCTGTCACTTGACTCATCCGTTGACTGTTCAAAAGGGCTGAGTCTGCGCCACGCATCTGACTCCCATGGTCCGTGCACACATAGGATGGGTAGTCACGCCACGCACAAGCGACGAAGGGTCATGGACAATGACTATAACGGCCATGGGCTATAGCCGTTACATAGGTATCAAATAACTACATTTATCGTTTCTGAACATGTCAAGCGCCCTAAACACCGGCAAACGCCAATCAACCCAGCTTTTGGTGCATCTGTACGTTTGCGGGCATTAGACAGCTTCAGCAGCGGCTTTTGCCTTTTCCACCCTCGCGCGCTTCCTTCGCAGATTCTCAGACTCGTTGTCGCGCTTGTTCTCGCCGTATTCAATACGCTTGAGTAGCTTGCGCTTCTTGTTGGACAACATCATCTTTTGCCTCTCACGCTCCTCCTCTTCTGCGCGCTTCTTCTTTTCGGCCTTCTTGCGAATGGTCGCGTTCTCCTCTTTCCTGGTCGGCTTCTTGACCTCAAGCTTCTTGCCGGTAGCTTCAGCCTCAAGTTCGCGTTGATGTTGGAGACGAGCAGCTTCTCCTTCTGAGATGTCGGATTCGGCATCAGAGTCGAGATCGTCCTCATCACCAGCGGGTCCATCTTCCTCATCCGACTCATCATCGTCGCTGTCGTCTTCGGAATCGTCAGCGACATCCATTCCCTCGCCAACTTCAACAGAGCCTTCGCGGTCAACGATGGCCTCCATATCCTCATCTCCGTCAACATCGAATGCTGTCTCCTCATCGCCTTCATCTTCAAATGCCTCGGCCTCACCCTCTGGCTGTTGGGCTGCGAGGGGCAGGTTAGGGTCGTATTCGCCCTTCTTGGGCTTAACCCATGGGCTCAAGTGTGGCGGCAAATCGGCGCCGGGAGAGTAGTGGTCTGCTCGCAAAAGCTTGCCCTGGTTGATGCTATCCCAGACCCACTGAGGCTGGACATAGGTGCGACCAGGCATCATGGAGTAGGGCCATTGAGCCTTGGGAGCAGCAGCTCCACCATTTTCAGTCTCCTGAACGTTGGAAGCCGGTGCACCATTGGACAGGGCTGGTCGATCAACAATTTGATGTGTAATGGCGGGGTCGGATTCGTTTGTCGTAAAGGCACCGTCACCTAAAACGCCATCCCAACCCACTCTCTTGCAGCCGAAAGCCTTGAGTATAAACTCAAGCGAGCCTCTGGGTGTCTCTCGCGACAGGTAAAAGGTGAAGGGTGCGAACAAAGAGGCAACCTCGGCGCTGCTTGCTTGGGGCTGAGGTAGGATGTCGGCGTCGGGTGCAGTGGGCTCGAACTTGTCAATCTCCTCATTGGCCTCCTCCTCATCGTCTTCGGCACCAGTCTTGGCTACCGCTGTGGTCGCTTCCTCTTCCTCAACATCGGGCATAGCTCCAATCCTGTCTGCAATGGCCTGTGCCTCGGGGTTGATCTCAGCATCCTCAGCGTGGCCATTCGATGCGCCGTTTGTCGCGGTAGCTTTGCCCTCGAGCTGGAACGCAGCCAGCTCACCACCTTGCTCGTCGCTCCTTGCGTTGAACTTGGGAGGGTATACTAGGCCAATTGAAGTGTAGAGGCGGTAGTTGACGAAGCCAAGAAGAGTAGTGTAGAACTCGACAAATGTGCCCATGATCCTGAAATCAATGTCGCCGCCTGTTCGCTGCACGAACCTATATGGCACCAGCCAAAGGATGTCCTGGCCTTGAATGGTGGCCTGGTAGTAGATACCCTTGATGGAGAGGAAAGACTTGCGGAGGGAATGGGAAGTGATGACGTAGTGTTCGAACTCGCGCGTCAATCGCTGGCAGAGGGCGATGGTCTTTGCGGGGATGTGGTCGCTCGAGGGAAGGTTGGCGAAGAGGAACAGCATGGAGAGGGCATCGTCGAGATCGCGCAGAGCGTCAACAAAGGTAGGGTAGCGCTCCTTGATGATGTGATCAAGCTTGACCTTGGGCATGAGGTTCTTCTCAAGGCGCGAGGCATCACCAGATTCGCCGCGACCGAGGGCGCGACCAATCTTCTTTGCGACGGCCTTGTGCTCGCGGAACTTTGCCAGTAGCGGCTCATGGAGCAGGTACTGAATGTCCTTTGTGTAGTAAAAGGTTGTAGCGGCAGTGGAGCCCTTGGAAACCTTCTTCTTGTTGCGCGGCTCACGGGGGGTAGATTCCCTTGAAGATGCATAATCGGCGGAAGTCTGGGAGCGATATCTGAAGCGGGGACGAGGTGTACATGAGCTCATGTGGTGGATTCGGCACCAGAGGTGCCTGTGTAGGTGTTAGTATATGCATTAATGATGCTTAGAGAAAACAAATACCCTTCTTTTTACTGCGACCAGCCATTGCGTATGTTGTACAGATTCACGGTTCTGTCGGTGCAGCTGGGCGAACTTTTGGCGTTGGCAAAAAAGTTCGAGATGCGGCGGAACTAGCGGACAAGGATGTTGCAGTAGCGTGACAAGGGTCCACTGTGATGCATCTTGCCAGAACACCATCACGAACTGCGACCACGTCAAGTGTAATGGAGCCATTGGTCCGGTAGCTGCGCGCAAACATGGCCATTGATACGCAGCAAAAGATGCTGCTCTTCGGGGCGGCTGCGGCAGTCAGGTTGCTTCTATTCACCGTCTTTCCCGCTCTTCCAGACCTCCTCGCCGGCCGCGTCGAGGTGTCCACACCCGTCACAAGCTTCAAGAGGTGTAGGTGAAAGCAGTCCATGGTGTGCATATGTACTAATCGATACCAGTGCAAGAGGGCGTCTTTCTTCATACCCACAATGTCTCTCCATATGACGGCGGCGTTTTCCACCAGGCCCCTCTCCTACTGCCTCTTTTCTCCCTCCTGCCAAACCCCTCCCGCGCCCCGCTTGCGACAAATATCCTCTACACCATTGTAGACTTGCTGAGCGCGAATGCCTTGTATCAGGTCGCAGAGAGTGGCTTCTCCTCGGTGACGCGCCTGTTCGCTTCTCCCCGGAAAGACTTGCGATGGAGTAGCATGGCCATCACCGCTGGGTAGGTGTCGAATTTGGCTTTAAAGAGCATGCGCTGACCTGCCTCTAGCTTCCTGTTCAGTCCATTCACCGTCCTGACATGCATCGCCCGCTCCACGTCCTCTCTGACAAACCTCTTCATCCTCACAGCCATGGCCAAGGCATCACAGGGAGCCAGCTTCACTTTCATCTTTGCCACAGCCTTCGCCTCGTACTTTGCCATGCACCCAATCCTCCTCTTTCCTCCCTTGATGGTCTTGTTGTATGATGCAAAGGCGCTCAAGAACAAGTCCACTCCGAATACGACCTCGTTTGTTGTCACCCATACACTTGGCTTCGTAGTCGCAATTGGCGCCCTTTTGGCTGGCTCGGCATTCTTGACTGGCTCATGGGACTTCCTAGGAGCCACGTACGGTGTGCGTCTCCTAATGCCAGATCTTACGCCCAATGTGGGTCTCTGGTGGTACTTTTTCATTGAGATGTTTGACTCGTTCCGCGAGTTCTTCCTAGGCGTGTTCTGGTTACACGCCGCCTCGTACATGCCAGGTCTTACCATTCGTCTTCACAAGCAGCCCTTATTCGTCGCTTGCGCATTGACTGGCGTTTTTGCCATCTTTACGCCCTACCCCAGCATAGCAGATGCTGCTCTGTACCTTTCTTTGGTGCCCATGTTCCGGCATCTGTTTCCTCGTAAGTATACGACACCTCTGTCCCAACTTCCTGTGCTAAACGATATTAGTGATGCGTTATACCTTCTTGGCATCGGCGAGCATTCTATACACATCGTTCCTAGGTCCTGCCTTTTATCACTTGTGGGTTTACGCTGGATCTGGCAATGCCAATTTCTTCTATGCAATTACACTGGTCTGGAGTCTGGGCATGTCGATTATTCTAGGAGACTCATTGTACGCGGCATTGAGGGACGAGCTGGACGTCGAAAGGCCGGAATTGCAAGGGAAGGAGGTACGTCGGATATGAATGAAAATCATCTTGATGTTGACGTTGATGGAAATTATAAACATCACATACCCATTCATGTATCTTAACTCTGTTCACAAAGTGTGTTAAAGCTCGTAGTGTGGACCTGATGCGTCCACACTTGTCTGTCTACCGCGTCGAAATATTAAAGATATCGAATCCCAATTGAGCTTACACACATCACTCACTCTCACCACTGCGCAATGTCTCACTACAGGCTCCCACTTGCTGTGAAAATGCGGGGTAAAGTGCTCAGCTTTCTGCTCTTAGTGTTGCCATATCCTCTCTCACCAGACTCGGAAATTGCCTCAAACGCGCAACTTCACCGCTGATTATGAGGTCAAGTGGTTGCGTGTAGCCTACCATATAAGTCTGGTATCCGTCCCTCTCCTCTTCCAACTCCTCCAACTCACACTCTTCATCCAATTCTCTTTCAACCTCCAACAACAGTCACACATCAGACAAACACCTAACCACATCCCACCCCAACACAACATCGCCACCATGTCCAACAACGTCATCACATTCACCCCCCGCGAGATGGAGGTCCTCGCACTGGCCTGGAAATGCATGGAGACTCAACCCAAGGTACGTCTCGCACTCATCGTGCACTGTAGCAAGTTACACACTGCTATACATCACCGCCTCCCCATCCCACGCCCACCACGTATTCCACATACCCCACTCCCATCATCAACATCTCCACTAACCCCCACCCATTAGGTGGACATGAACAAGCTGGCCTCCCTCACGGGCTACACCCCCGGCAGCGCGAGCGTCACCTTCGGCAAGATCAAGCAGAAGATCAGGCTCGTCGGCGACTCCCTCTCCTCCGCTGGTCCTGCTCCGCCTAAGAACGGTTCTCGCGCCAAAGCCACACCGTCAACTACGCCTAGGAAACGCAGCATGCTGTCCGCCAGCACTCCGCCCTCTGCCAAGAAGTCCAAGCAAGTCCAGCTCGACGACGACGATGTGGAGGACGATGACGAGGACTTCCGTGTTGCACGCGTCAAGCGTGAGATCAAGCGTGAGCCAGAGATGGATTTCGAGGAGTTTGGCTTGTGTGCTTTGGATGGTGGTTCGGGCTCGCGCTCTGCTGCTGTTCGTTCGCCTGGTGGCAATGGTGGTTTCCTCGATGGGATTGAGAAGTACGCCTGGGTCTGAGAGAGGCCGAGTGTGCCCAGTGGAGTTGGGGGACAAAAGTCGATTTGGGGATTAATACTCTTCACAACCGTGGGATTTAGGGAGTTTTGCGTGCTATTATGGGGGGTTAAGATGCTTTTTTCCTCACAGGGAAGAGGACGAGAGAGGGTTCATTGCGTTTGCATTGGGGGCTTTAGTACTTCTTTCTTCTTACTTGCGTTCTTCCTTCTTCAAGGATAGGATGTGAGATCACATCATCTCACGGTTTAGTTTGTCAATCATGGACACGGGTTTCACTTCGAGTTCTTCTTCAAGTTCCTCGTCAAGTGACCATACATTTGAGAATACTAATGAGATATAACGCTACGCTAATTCTTACAACGCAGCACGATTAGAGCCTCAGCTACTATAAATGAATACCAGTATACACCCCCGACCTGTGAAACGCCGCCATATTTTACACCTCCATTTCATCTTCCTCCACCTCTTCAACCTCAGAGTGCAGCGATAGCCTCACGTAGCACATCCAGCGCCCTTTCTCCCACACCATCTAATCCTTCTCTCAGAGCCCACGCAACATCACTCTGCAGTCCCAGCGGCACATACACCCCCCCCTCATCCTTGTTGACCTCCATTCTCTCGCCCAGACGACTCGTGTGCTCCCACTCCCTCGCTGCCTTCTCTGCATTCTCAATCACCTTCTTCGGGATTCCGCACATGGCCGCACAGTGCATACCGAAGCTGCCCTCTGCCACGCCCTCCTCGAGCTTGTAGAGGAAGGTGATGGACTTTGAATCGTCATCAACGTGAATACGCATCCGCTTGTTCTGCACCTCCGGGTGGAACTCGAATTCCTTGGCGAGCGACCGGTAGTGTGTTGCAAAGAAGCCGACGCAGCCTACACGTGTGCTGATGTCGTGGAGCACGGCCTGTGCGACGGCTACACCATCGTAAGACGATGTTCCGCGGCCGAGCTCGTCAAGAATCACGAGCGAACGGGGTGTGGCTTCCGAGAGAATCTTCTGCGTCTCCGAGAGCTCGACGAAGAAGGTGGATTGGGCGGCGAAGATGTTGTCATTCGCTCCCAGACGCGACATGATACGGTCGACGGGTGTCAGTCGCGCTGACGTGCAGGGCAGGTAGCAACCCACTTGTGCGAGAATGACTGCTATGCATGTCATACGCAGGATTGTTGATTTACCGGCTGCGTTGGCACCAGTCAAAAGGCTGATGTTTGCACCGTCTCCGCCGAGTCGGATATCATTGGGGATAAAGTCAGCGACGGTATTGAGCATACACGGATGACGTAGCTCCTCGAACTCGACGACGGTACGCTTGCCCTCCTCAAATACTGGACGGCAGCTTGGCTCCCCTAGCGAAGCGGAGGCCTTTGCAAGACTAATCAAGCAATCAAGCTGAGCAATGATCTTGACAGCCGCCAGCCAGACCTTGTAATCCTCGTCAAAGCGCTGACAGAAGCGAGTAGCAACCTCTCGTGTGATCTGTCCATGTGTCTCCTGCGCTTCTTGTAGTGCTCGCACAAGCTTTCGTAGCTCAGGACTGTAGTATCGTGTGACCTTGGCAGTAGCCGACATTTGATCCCAGCTGTTGGGAACCTTGACTTTCTTGGGTACCTCGAGTTGGTAAATCTCCTTGCCTATGTCATTGTACTGGACAGCATTTGAGCCAAGCTCCTTTCGTGCCTTCTTCAACAGCACGTCCAGATCAGCCTTACATGCCTCGACTCGTTCTTGACTGTTATCAAAGTCCTCCTCGATGCCAGGCTCGGGGATCAATAGACCTTCCTTTCGCGCAATGTTACGATCAAAGGCTGAGGTCCACTTGGCCAGCGACGTACCAAGGTCGGGCATCGACGAGATAAGTTGCCCGATGACACCTTCTCCGTCGCCAAATTGCTTCAATAGACTGATGGTGTACTCAATCTGCTCGAAGCCTTCTAGTACTTTGAGAAAGTCCTGAGCTCTGCATCGGCCCGCATGTACACGCGAAATGAGGCGCTCAAGGTCCGGTAGCTTGCTGAGCGACGAGCTGAAGTTATCCATGATGGAAGAGTCGGCATTCAGTGCGTCCACTGCATCCAGGCGGGCATTGATCTTTGCTGCATCTGCGAGAGGATGACATACCCACTGGCGAAGAAGACGTTTGCCAAATGGCGTAATGCAACGATTAAGCATGGCAAACAAAGTGCCCTCAGCCGACCCATCAAAAGTGTTGGCAAAGATTTCCAGGTTGATCAGGCTTTGACCATCGAGCACCAGGCTGGTAGCTTTACGTATCGGATCGTACCACTGGAAGTTGCCAAGTGTAACGAGATCGCGCTCAATCATCAGCGTGCGCAAGTACTGTAGAAGGGCACCAAACGCAGACATTACTAGCTCTTGCTCTCGCGCTTCACGCAAAACTGCCGGCCACGCCTCAATATTGTCCTCTGTGGGCGACTCGAAGTAATTGTTCACCTCAAGCTCCCGGATCGCTATATCAGCAGGCCAGAACTCCTTGTTAGGCTTCAGCCAGTTCCAAATGGTTGTTGGCGGCGTGTTGTTTTTGAGTATACGCAGGACTTTGGCAGAGACGCAAGACTTCTCCAGTAACAACTCGCCTGGTCTCATTTGCGCAATGAGGGTTTCAAACTTGGTCATGTCGACATCGTCAGTGAACTCACACAGCTGGAACTGTGCTGTGGCAGTGTCGACGAATGCCACACCAAAGGCAGGCAAATTGTCCCGGTCAATTTCCTTGATGGCCATACAATATGTTGACATCTCGCTCTGCAGCATGCCCGTGTCTACCAGTGTTCCTGATGTGAGCACGGTAGCTAGTTCACGCCGAATCACCTTGTTTTCCTTGCCGCCTGCTGCCTTCTTCGGAGTCTTGCCCTTGTCGTCACGTTCGCGCATCTCTTTGCCAAGAGCCGATTCCATTTGGTCAACTCGTGCAACTTTGTAGCCGGCCGCTACAAATTGAGTCGCCCACATGTCCAAAGATGCCTCTGGCACTCCCACCATCCTCATATTGACCCGATCAGTCAGCTTGAGATCGAAGAGCTGGTGACCGATTGTAGCATCCTTCTCATACAACTCGTAGAATTTACCCTTCTTGAAGAAGACGACAGTGTCCCACCACTTGCTCTTGATCTCCCAATACTGCTTCTCGAATGCCGACAGTTTTTCGAAGGCGTGCGGGGGAACATAGAGGGTGCGTGGGTCGTAATCGGGATGGTCGATCGGATGACGGTCGGCGTCCTGCTGATGAGCGAGCCATGGATGTCTTGTCTCGGGCTCAGAAGCCGATGGTCGTTCCTTGATCTTCTTGATCGGATCTCGTTTGGTCGCTTGCACTGGCGCACGGGGCTTGAACACCATTGGGTTTTCCGGGTCGTATATCCATTGCTGTGCTGTCGATGTGCTCGTCATTGCAACATCGCCATCCTCATCGTCGTGCTTTTCCTCAATTATAGGCGGGGAAGATGCCGGGGAGGTTTTGGCGCGTGCCTTGGACGCCGATGGCCGTTTGCGCTTTTTTGAAGCAAGTTCCTCCTCGGAGTCGTCTGGGACGATGAAGTCATCTTCCTCATCCTCTTCTTCAAGCATTGCCTTCTGCGTGGCCGCGTCTAAGCCAAACTCATCATCAGAGTCATCCTCAATTGTTACCCTCTGGCGTTTTGTAGCTCGGCCTCGTGCATTGTTCGCAATTGGTCCCAGCACGTCATCTTCATCCTCGTCGTCATCTGATTCGGCATAGTTCACTGATTTTCTAGCCTGGGCAGCGGGTCAGTAGGCGCGTGTGTATGCGATAGTCTGTCTCGCGTACCTTCCGTGTTGGGCTACTAGGAGCAACGCCTGCTAACACTGATGACCTGATTAGTTGCCGAACTCAATGTTGGAGTGACAGATCAGCGGACCGTTTTCCTTGTTCCTTCCTACTGTAAGTTCCCGCTCCTGTTTGATGGGACTCGAGTAATCTGGGGCGTCACTACTAGGGACAGGAGTGGTGGAAGCAGTCGACTTGGTAAAAGCCTTGTTCGCAATTGTCGGCTTTGGAGTCTTCTGGGTTGGTGTGGCATCGGACGGTGCGGGGCTGGGTGAGTTGGTAGACTTCTTCTGGAAGAAGCCGAGGATTGACTTTTGGCCCTTTGCGGATTGTGATGCCGAAGCGGGCTGCTTCTTCTGTGAGGCGCGAGGGGTTGACATTTCATTTCCTTCGACGCCGCGAGCCATTGTTGCGTTGCTGTAAAATGTGAAAATGTCTGAGAAGAATTGGTACTGTGGTTCAATCTCAAGCCATCGCCCAATTCCGGGGAAGGAATGAACGCGTCGACGCGTCGCGCTAGTGTGCTTTGGGTCATTGAGTGGCTTGGCGCATATCGTAATCCTCGACATGAATCCCCTCGCCAAGTGACCCGTCTCAACTTCCAAATGGTTAAAAGATGATCCCTGGCCGTCAGATAAGGTAGGGTGGCTCACGGTTGTGCTCAACACGAACCGCAATAACGATAACTCGCGTTCATTGGGATTATCACTTTGTATTGATGATGACGGCTTGAATGTACCGAGCTATGACGAATTGCTTTCTGTACAAAATAGAAGATTTTCCATACCATGTCCCTTCCCATCAGGCTCCCAGCGCAGCGATGGTCACCGATATCTATCTACTGGTGTGGACAAAAGCATGCTTGGAGTACGAAGTGGGGCAGGTAACAGCAGGGCCAGTATAACGCCCCATCGAGAATGCCTTTCGATGACTTCTCATCCTATGCGCTAGGCGAACGGCGAGAGCGTGAGCTCGAGCTATTCGACGAGCCGGTCTATGACTCTGAGCTGCCAGACTCTGCATTTGGCCCGTGGCGATAACTAGAGTCTGATGCCATCTCATGTTGGGAGGAACCTCGTTTGTGGTGGGCACGTGGACGGTCTTCGGGATGGTTGATGGTGTCGGACCGGTGGCCGTCTAGATTATGCATGTGAACTGGGGTAGGTGTCATGGGCTTCTCGATGCTGTCGGTGATTGTCGATGTTGTACCATCCAGAGCGGGCATGGCTTGACGATGGATCTTGGCTGGCTGTATTTGACCTGACTGCAACTGGATCACAAAGTCGTGCTCTTCGGTTCCGTCGGTGGTACTGAGAGCTACATAAAAGTTAGAAGGTGTGTCGTCTGAAAGAGTTGGCCACATACGCATTGTTCCAGTCTGGTAACGTGTCGGGGTCCTATCAGAAGCCCGAGTGCTGTATTCCTCACGGCCATCACCATCTGCACCTGGGTTGGCAGTCTCGTACCCGAGCGTCTTCAACAGACGGTAGAAGCCAGCCGCCATGGCCGCACCGAGAAGAGGACCAAGCCAGTAGATCCAGTGGTGACCGGGCCATTTGCCCGTGATGAGAGCTGGTCCGAAAGACCGTGCTGGGTTCAGGGAGCCACCGGTGAAGTAAACACCTGTCCATGTCAGTCTCGTCAATCTCAAACTACGATTGTACTAACCAGCCAATTCAGCAATGAACAGAGCGAGTCCAATTCCAAGCGGAGCGATGAAAGTCGCCCTGTGCTTTTCTGCAGCCAGCATGAATATGGTGAGGAGAAGCATGAATGTAAGAAACATCTCGATAAACAAGCCTCGGGTGACTGAGGTGCCCTTGCTGAGGCTTGTGTTGACCGACAGTGGCCCAGGAAAGAGGCCAGAGACAATGGCCGCTGCGGTGATTGCACCAAGTGTCTGTGCGAGTATGAGCAGTAAGACTTTTACCCAGCCAATTGCCCCAACAAGTCCCATGGCGAAAGTAACCTGGAATAGGTTAGTGAAGACGCCAGCTCCTATTGTCTGTTGACACATACAGCGGGATTGAACAGGCCTCCACTGATACGAAAGAAGACCCAGACTGTGATGGCTAGCGAACAACCAAAGGCCAAAGAGATGTATAGCAAAGTTCCGACATCCATGGGTCTAGTACCGCGGAGGTTGTTGGCAACCTGTGTAGCAGCAAAGGCGAAGAACAAGAACAGGAAGGTGCCGACATATTCTCCGAGGAAAGAGATCAAGTGGTGACGAGCTCTGTTTGGAAGCCATCCACATCCAGGTTGACGTGGCTCCGCAGGGTGCTGGGGGTCTTCGGTATACTTTTGCTTCATGCCAGGCAAGACCATAAAGCTCTCTGAAGGTGGCTGATGGTTCGTGAGAGGCGGAGAAGTGGTATGCTAGGGTCGTGTAGGGCTTTAGGATAGGTAATACTAGTAGAATTGCACGAATGTATGAAGATGGTGGTAGGTGTGGTAGTAAGAGGAGCTGAAGGTGAAGTTTGAAAGAGAACGAGGGAGATGTAGACTGTGTCAGGGCAGGTGAAGCTGGCAGGCGACACTGATGCAAAGCGTACGATTTCCATTTCCGAGGCAGAAAGCGGAAGGCTATAGTGGTGAACGACGTACGATCTGCCTGGATGCGGCAGTCTCGAGCAGTGTTGCAGAAGAAGAAAGAGCGACACATGGGCTCGGTCTAGACGAATACAATACACACACACACACCTCTCCTCTCTATCGATGAATGCAGATAATACCGAGAGTTTGTCAAGTGAAGACATATCTTCCTGTATGAACTATTGTAGCAGCACTGCATAGTTCTCCCTGGCCCTCTATCACGGCTGCATGTTGGTGTTGAGATTTGGTGATGGGTGCCAAGATCTTCACGGGCAAGAACGGCGGTTGCGACGCGGTGCAGGGATTCACACCTCTATTGGCCCTTGGCGCAGTAAGAGACATTTTTTTTTCCCTGGAGTTTGTGTTCTTGGGTATGAATCTCGGGGTCACGGTGAATGACCATGTGCTGCGTCGCCTAACCTTCTCGCGCCCTGGCCTGCACACCACAACGCTGAATTTAGCAAGTATTCCAGATGCTGCATCCATGCCAGGGTGCCAGACGTTGCATGCAGACGAGACAACGTGTCTCAGCTGACGAGATAGCAAGAGAGATAGACTTGACATGAGCTCAGGGTCATGCAACCTATGATGGGATGCCGTGTATGGCACAACGCAAAGTTGCGGTGGGGGGGCAAGAGGCAGATAGGGTGCCAAATACGATTGCATAACCTCATAACCACCAACAGACACATGAGGAGGCTGCTCCGACGTTGATGGAATGGCATCGAGCATATCGGGCTATTGTTTGCTTGTTGGTCGCTGTTCCTGACGTTTGCAACAGTGGCGTGAGGTAAGGTCGCATGCACACTCGCCTGGACATCGGCAGCGGCCCATGGCCCATGACTCTCCACCACCTGCAGGGCCTCGGGACCATCACGACATCATCGGGCTCCCCCATGCTAGTCTCCCGGCTGCCACCAGAGACGTCCGCGTCGCTCTTCGGCCCTACTTCTAGCCGCACCTTCTGAATACCTAAACATTCACTGACTTTCTTCTGCTTGCCTTTGATTCCCTGCGTTTTTACTCGTCCGCCGCCACCGGAGTAGCGACGCCTCCCGACCGCTGTTATTGCCGCATCATCTATCAGTGCCCACCCTTCACCACCAACTTGCCCCGCGTGACTAGAAATAGGCGCACACTACGCTCTCTCTACTTGCACCACTCCATGCCTTAACTCTGCTGGATCTCCAGCACCTTTTGCTGCTTTCGCTCCTTGCCACCTTTGTCCAACGCCGCCCAAGACCCCCCGTCGCAAACATGCGCCCATTACGCATGCTACTCTCCTTCGCCAGCTCCTTCATAGCCCTCGTATTACTTATATTCACCGTCATAGGCACATCAGCCGTAGTCGAAGAACAGGATGTCATATCAGTCGCGTCAAGTCGAGGCCGCTTCAAGGCCGCGTCCTTTTTTTCCTCGCCAGGCTCGCTGTTCCCACCGTCTGCCATTATCAGCCTGACCGACGACAACTCGACCTTCTTCCTCGCCCGCCCAGCCGCCTTCGGGCCCGATCTGCCTAAAGATGGTCTAAGCGGGCCTTTATGGGTCGGTAGCGGCTTCGGAGACGATACCTTGGGTGCGGGAGAGTTGGGGTGTAGTGACGTTCCGGGCTGGGAAGACGGCAATGACGACCTTGTCGGCATTTCTCAGTCAGCAGGGAGTATCAAGGGCATATCCAAAGGGGACAGGGCGTCTGATGCCGAGCAGGCCTCAGAGCATGTCGCCCAAGACGATGGCACAGACGACCATTTACAACCCCACATCGACAAAGTGCGCGTCAAGCCACGAGTCGGTCATGCTGATATCCAGTCGCTCCAGGAGAGCGCCGAGATTGCAGGCAAGGTCGTACTCCTCAAGCGCGGGGGCTGTGGTTTCCTGGCCAAGGTTCAATGGGCCCAGTCTCGCGGAGGAAAGGCTGTTATTGTGGGAGACGACGTTCGCGGCGGAGCTCTCGTTCGAATGTATGCCAAAGGAGATACTTCAAATATCACGATTCCGTCTCTGTTCACTTCGCACACGACTGCACATCTCTTGTCTTCGCTCTTACCATCCGAAGGTAGGCTGTCGCAATCCACGCTGCCAAAAATTGGCTCCGACACAACCAAGGACAAGAATCAGCCTTCGTCTGCTCAAGCGTCGGACAAGGCTGCGCAGACATCAGGCCACTTGAAGTATTCTGCGGGGCCAGCCAAAGGCAATACCAACGAGGAACGTCCCAGTTGGCTGCACTCGTTGCTGTCGATGATTGGCTTTGGTGCGAGCGACGGCTCTCCCAAAGCTGGTAGTCGAAGACTCCCCAACAGCGGCCATCTCCAATGGGTCGAGGCTAGCGATTGGGATGATGACCAAAAGCCTATCCGGACAAAGTCTGCCGCTCCTACTGCAACTTCCACAAAGGCATCAGATGATTTCGTCATCGGCGAGCAAGATTGGCGCGATCCTGACCTCCTGCCTCTCCCCTCATCGTCAGCAAGTGGAACTCGGTATCCAGCTAGCTCAACTCCAGTTGCCTCGAAATCGGCTAGTAACGTACTGCCTGGAAGTGGCGAATATAACAACGAGAAAGCAACAAACAAAAACAAGGGCTGGTGGAGGCGGTCGTCTTCTCCCGAGGACGACACCCTACACCCAGTATCGCACAAGCAGACGAGGAGTATAACGTCAATGACTGGCGCCCATTCAGGCAAAGTCAAGACTTCACCACATACTTCAGGTCGTCACCACGAAGGACTGTGGGTGACACTAACACCCACAAATGTTTCGACTAGCCCCTTCTTTGATACCCTCCTTGTGCTTGTTGTCAGTCCGTTGGTCACTCTTACTGTTGTGTACGTCCTGCTTCTCCTCCGGTCTCGCATACGCCGCCGGAGATGGAGGGCTCCCAAATCTGTAGTTGAGCGCCTTCCTGTCAGAACCTACCAGACGATTAGCGAAGCTTCGTCTGCTGCGACCTCCATTGTAGCTTCCCCGACAACTCCTCTGCTTCAACACTTCTCCACTCCATCCAGATCGACCACTTCCCGATCACACTCCACAATAGAGTCTGAAGCGCCTGCCACATCGACCTCTGTTCAACAGGAGACCCGTGAACAGGAAGAAGAGAAACGCGAATCAGGGCTCGCCGCTTGGAGGCGCCGCTACGGTGGTCGACAGAGAGAGTGTGTTGTATGTCTAGAGGAATATGTTGACGGTGTCAGTCGAGTCATGAGCCTACCGTGTGGCCACGAATTTCACGTGGATTGCATGTGAGTATATACATCGCCGTTCACTCATCATGTCTAACTTCTTTCAGAACACCTTGGCTTGTTACGCGTCGGAGAACGTGCCCTATTTGTAAAGGTGATGTTGTGAGAACGCTTTCTCAATCGTTCCACGACCGGCTGCAGTCCGTATCGCCAACAGGTTCTCCACGACTATTAGCCAACGGGGATGACGTGCAGAATCAAGCAGCTGAAGCTCGCAATGATTCGCCCTCGGCCTCGCGACCTGTACCGATGTCCAGATCTGGACCTAGCGACACATCTCGGCTTGATGATGACGTGGAAGCTGGTTGGTCAAGAAACAATTCATCTGAGACCCGTGGAACTGAACTCGGAACATCATTTCGCGAGCTAGCATCATCAGTGTCTACTGTTGTGTGGCGAGGAGTTGACGCTGTTCGAAACACTACAGGTCTTCAGCGACGTTCTCCACCTGAAGACGTTGACCGCAATCGCTAGTTGCACATTTCATGATTTACTTTCGGCTTAACGGCTTTTGGTTACATTGAAGGCATATACCCCTGGGAAGCACACCGGCGTTGCGATGGAGCTTGGACATGTCTCAACCTCTCATTCCACACCTGTGACTTGCCTATTGTAAGGTAGCTTGGCATAGCGGCGGTGACATCCTTCGGACATACTACTCAATCCATCTATTTAGACTTTTCTGCAGTTTCTGTGGGCTATGATTGGCAAATGCGACGCGTAAGAACTGGCGCTGTGCGCTCACTCGTGATGAAAAGTCTGACCATGGGTGCACGAGCATGAGACTATAACGTGACTGCAAAGGCCGAGGAGGCTTTTTTGTGCTACATAGCCATTGCCTACGGTACGCTATGGATGTATAAGAGCAACGATTAGCGCCTTGGCACTAGCTCGACACTGAGCAGTACCGAGCTTCGTCCCTCACTCCTCCCATATCTTTCATCTTGATTGTATTGTATGTTTTGATCAATGATAATATTAGCCTCTCGTTGTCTTATAAATGCGTTCTTTACCACACATCATCCACAGTCTCACCACATCAGATTATTGCCATTACAAAGCTTGCAAGGAGAGTACCAAGATTATGATAGCCAAGACAGCAAAGCCCGGAAGCCGCATAGTTATTATCCGGTTCATATGAACACGTCCTATATACCCATCCAACGGGTCCGTATTCTTCAGCCGCATATGCATTAAGAAAAAGAACTACTAGGAATGCAATCTAGACGGGTGCCTGGTCCCGACCATGCGATGATCAGCACCCCGCATCGACCACTACCCGCGTAACCGGGGAAAGCTTGACTACTTCTAAGTTTGGAACTTAACGTTCTCCCTAGCATTGACGACATTCCTCACACCTAATTGTGCAACAATGACTTGGTTCGACCAAGAAATATCTTTGCCCCATGTTACCATACCGCATGTCTTGTATTCCCCGGGCCGACACTTCTCCATATGTGGAATGTTGCATCATCATCATCATCATCATCAAGCTCATGTCATAGTGTTTGGCGCATTAGCTGCTCAGCACGCGGGGAGGAAGCTAAGATCTCGTGTTCATTACACCATAACGCTGCAATACTTCGGGACGCGCGCGATCAGACCAATCTGACTGCCGATGGCCGTCTTGGCGGGAGCAGTATGCTGGGTACGTTGGGCGCGCCGGTTCGACATCAAGTGCGACTTGGCAACATCACTGCTCAGCAAAGTTTGGCTCCGGAACTCTCAAAGAAGAAATATCCAATACACGACAGGCCACCAAAAACAAAAACAGGAAATGCTACTCAAGCGCTCGGGCACGTGATTTTGATATATATATGTCTCTGTGAGATGTCGATATGGTATTCACTTGCTCATCACGCTTCAAACAGAGCTTTCTCATCCACGGCCTATCTTTCTTGAACAGTAGCACTACCAATTCTTCCTCCAGCAAAAATGAAGTCCATCTACTTTCTCCTTCCTTTGTTCGGCTCTGTTCTTGCTGGAAAGTACCCCACGACCGAAAAGTGTGTGGCTACTTGCCCAAAGTTCGATTGCGACACGTCTAACGCAGCGGTACGTAAACGACTCCTCCTTGAGCACTGGAGTGTATGAGAATGATGGACTGACCGATTACACTACAGAATCTGTGCCAGTGCCAGAACGACCAGGAAACAGCATGCAAGAAGAAGTGCCGCGACTACACGCCCGTCTACAAGGTACATCCACCCACCTCCCATCTCCTCACCCAACAAACATCTAAAAAAACCTCCAGCCCTGCCCCGTCAACCCACCCCAGGAGACATGCGAGTGTGAGCCAGTCTTCTGCGCCCAGTCCTGGCCAGAATCCTGCTACTGCGGCAACGCAGCAAAGACAGCCTGCCACAAGAAGTGCGGCGGCGCTTACCCGGTTTACGAAACCTGCCCTCCTCGCACCACTCTCACCATCACTCAAACCAGTACTTCGACTTCCACTTCGACCCGCTACCCAGTCGCCACCCCCACTGCTAAGCCCACCAACCAGGTCTGCGGTGGTGGTCGTGCCGGACCTACTCTTGACTGCCCTACTGGTTTTGCTTGCATTGCTAACCCGTTTATCCCTGGTTCTTGTGGCCCGGCTTGCGACCAGCTCGGTGTTTGTGCGGAGGATAAGCTGTGTGGTGGGTTCGGTGGCTTCAAGTGTGAGGATCCACTCAAGGTTTGCATGGATGATTCGAGGGATGAGTGTGATCCTACTAAGGGAGGCGCGGACTGTGGTGGACGCTGTGTTTATCCTGAGGAGATTGAGGTTCCTGAGGAGATGGCCTACAGGGCATAATGTTGATAGGGGTGTAACGCAGGGAGGAGCGGCCAGATGAGTTTTTTGCGGATTGTTTAATTATCTTAATAGGGGGGTGGTTTGGGATGGATTTATATTCTTTAATTAAATGGTGTACCAAGGGAGCATAAATGTTTAGCTGAAGTGTCGAAGTGTATTCTCGACATTTGCATTCCATCAATCCAGTATTAAACAGATGAAATGATAATCTCTTTCACAATATCCCTATTTACACACTCGCTTTTACACCAAACCAAACCCTTCCCACATCTACAATTGAATCTTATCCGCCATACCCGCACCACCCATCCACACAATATAATCCTCGATACTCTTCTGCATAGCGTCCGTCGCCTTCTCAATCAAGCCCGTAAGCGGCGTCTTATCCGCATGCTTCTGCATAACCTCCAAAAAGTCATTATTAAACGCATCATTAATATTCACCTTTGCCACACCACACTCAATGCACTCCTTGAGCAACTTTTCCTGGAACCACTCCTTACCCGCACCATGCAGCACAAGCGCCACGCGATCCCCCACCTTCGCATGTACATTCTTCAGCCTGGGGTAGTCCAGCTGCGGCCCCTTGGGCCCATACTTGCCATGCACATTACCAAACGCCGGGGCGAGCCAATTAATCCCCGTAGCCACAAACTCCTCGGCTTGCTCCGGCGTCGTTAGAATAGCCTCCAACCCCATTTCGCTCAGATCCCCCACGCCGTCCTCCCCACCGTCAATGCGTCCCGGCTCGGCCTCGGTGATGATCCCCCGCTCGTTACAGTACCGCACCAGCTCCGCCGTCTTGGCAAGATTGTCGTCGAAATGCGACATGTCGACCATGATGCCGTCGAAGCCGTGTTCGAAATCCGCGGCGCGCTTGACCATTTCTGGCGTCTGTGCGTGGTCCATGTGCAGGGCTACGGGCACAGAGGCTTTGTCGGCGGCTTCGCGAGCGGCGTGCAGGAGGACGCCGTTGGCGTAGGTAATGGCCCAGGGGAAGAGTTGGATGATGAGGGGTGCGCGCTTGGCTTCTGCGGCGCGGACTGAGGCTAGGATGCCTTCGACATTGTAGCAGCATGTTGCGCAGATTGCATATTTGTTGGCGGCCGCGTGGGCGACGAGCTTGACGGCTTTGTTTTGGGAGAGGTCGGGCGCCATGGTTGTGCGTGTGTATGTGTGTTTGCTGGATGGACTCTTTTAGGGGTGGTGACTGTGAGGATCCGAGGATGTAAGGAGTGAATTTCTGAGAGCGAGAAAGAGCAGAAAGGATAGAGAGAGGGGACGGGGATGTGGAAGAATGATGCAAGTTCCCCTCCAACCATCCATTCCGCTTACCTTTCCGATGTTCCGAAGCGGTTTGTGGTGGGGTTGTCGGCATATGAGATGAAGCTATCCACGGCAGAAACACCGACGTCGGTTCATGTGCCGGCTAATTGGCTATAGCGAGTCACTTTCCGCGGATTACTTGTTTAGGTCGAGTCCAGTGTTGCCGCGGCTTTTGCAGCGACTTACCCAAGGTTTTCTAACGAGTGCGCATTCTATAACATTGTCACCACGTAAAAGATACAACAGACTTGTCAAGTTCACGATATATATTCGTGGGATGTGGCTAATTACTGTATAATCGTAATTATCAAGACTTCAATCCAGCCAAGGTCGGCTCATATAGCCGCCTGCAAAGAACGCCGCGCTTGATATGATCTTGAACTCCAATTTCAGCCCGAAATGGTCGCCGAACCAGATGCCAGTAGTACAGCCGACTCCAATTGTTCCCAAAATAGCCCCATGATGCCCATACATCGCAAAGATCTTTCTTCCAGATTCTTGTCCAGATTGCATGCCAACGCCGAAGACTGTAGTGTTCCTGAGTCCTCCCTATATGCCCCCATAAGATGACGCCGTGGTATCGAGCCGATAGAAACGCCCCAAACACCAGCCATGCTCATAATGAAATATCGAAAGTTTTGATCGTAACCGTACAATGTCGCTTGAGTCGTAAAAAGAAGATGGAGATAGAATGATAAGACCGCCAGCAGTGGAGCTGTAGCAATAGTGAGCTGTGACGATTTACACAGACACTTTGGTGCTGAAACCATGGATAGCAAGAAGCAATGCATGGATTGCGGTACAAAGGACTATAGCGTTCGCTATAGTCCCTGGTACATCGGTAGCGAGGAAAGCACAAAACAGATGAAAATCTTCAGCGGATGACGCCCCAATTGTCCATACTGCTTAGGCCTCCAGTGCGCTCCTTCTTCTTGAACGCGTTCCAGAAGCGAAGTGTCTCATCGCCAGCACCAGTGACGATAACTTGACCATCTGGACTCATGGCCAAGTACAGTACACGGTACGTGTGGCCTGTTAATGAAACGACTTGTTGCATGCTTGGGTACTTCCAAACGATGATTTGGTTTTGGCTATATCCGTGTGTGGAAACAATCTCATTGCTGTTCTTCGACCACGCTAGATTGCACACCTGGCTACCCGTGTCAAGACTGTTGATGAGATTTGCGGGTGCGGTAGGTGACAGGGGTATGTTGGTTGTGGCAGCTGCTGATGCTGCAGCTGAGGCAGATGCAAGGGCTGAAGCCGAGGGACCACTGGAAGAAATGAGTGTGTTCCAGAACTTGATTGTGCGATCCGCTGTACCGCCTCCACTGGCAAGGAGGCCGCGTTGATGTGGGCTCCAAGCGATGGCCTTAACAGCAGCTTGGTGCTCACTCCACTTAAAGGTAGGCTCGGCGTTGAGTTTTTCCCATACCATGAGCTTGTTGTCGTTGCCTCCGGAAGCAAGTTGTCCGTCTTCTTGGTTCCACTTGAGGCCACAAACTTCTTGCTTGTGGCCAACGAGCTTGCGAAGCCACTGCTCAGGTTGCCGAACGTCACGGTGGTAGATGGTGCGATCCCTTGATCCCGATGTGAGGATGTGCTCGTTCCATGCAAGGGCACCAACGCGACCTGTATGACCTGTCATGGTACGAAGACGACGCTGTGTCTGCGCATCCCAAATTTGAACCTGGCCTCGATTTGTTCCGACGGCAATATGTGATCCCTTTCCAAGTTAGTCTGATGATGGTGTAAAGAAACATGGAGCAACTTACACGCTGTATCCAGTTGACACTGGTAACTGAATCATCCGGTAGTTCGCACAGCTTAGTAACGCGACCACTACTCGAATTCCACATGTACACACATGATCCAAGACCTACTCCGAGAGTATTTTGGCTCCCCCAGTCGACGAGATTGAGGTAGAAGTCGTCGGCGAGATCCGGCGCATCCAGGACCTTGTATGGCACCTTGGAAACCGCACGGGCTTGACGTTGGGGACTCAAAAGCATGCGTTGACTGCTATACTTGATGGGCGATAGGCTGTAGAGATCCGAACGGGCGTTGAGGTTGAGTACACCATGCCGACTTGAGGGTGTTCGCGACGGGGTTGGCTGGCCTGAGTAGGAGAACAAGTTCTTGTGCGGGGTAGATGGAGTCCCTGAAGGGGGTGGTAATGATGCTGTGGTCCTAGCTGGAGGTGTGTGCGAGCGTCCCGCTCCTCGCATGTTGGCGCTATCAATCGGGGACAGGCTCTGGGGAACAGCCTGAGGCACTGACCCCTCGAACATCTCTTGGCGGAGTACGGCGGAATATGTGCGGTTTGCTTCTTCAGCTGCGTCAGGGTCAGTAAATATTCAGCAGGCATGTCCGCAGGTGCTTACTCTTCTGGAAATGGAGCTCGTTATGGGGAGTGCGCCGGGCCTTGGACGGAGTGGCTGGTGATGCGTCATCGTGAAGGAGATTGAAGCTTGCCTGGAGGTCCTGTCCTGCACGATTTGGGATGAATCTGATATGCACGTCAGCGAGTGACTCCCACACAGTCGCGGTTTGCTAAACTCACCGGTCGCCATATATCCGCGGACGCTTCCGGCTTGGGCTTGCTGTTGGTGTCCGTTCCCTCACACGACCAGCCTGCTCGATGTGTCCGAGCGCTTTTGTCAGTGCTGCGGCGTCTATTGGTTCCGAGCTTCGTTCGAGCGTGTTGGAGGGGAAGGTCTTGTTGCGCTTATGTGAAGCGGTGGGAGGAGTCTTTGACTCGGGCGGGGAGATCAAGGTCGGTGTTGCGATATCGTCTTCGGCAGGCGCATTCGTCGCCGCAGCGGCTGCTGCTGAACCGCGTCGTACCATTGTGCTGAATGCGCTGTGTTGTGCTGGCTGCGATTGCGCAGGCCGTTGGTTTGTATCAAAGATGGTGGTAAAGTCCGGGCGGGGTGCGCGCGGTTGAAGAAAGGATACTGCGAATATATACTAGGTGGCGCGAAGTCGGCTGCCTGCAAGTAAAGGTAAATTCGAGAATGGCGAGGTAAAGGTAGCGGAGACGGTGAGTTGCAGTATTGCTGTGAATAACAACCCCTTGGCCGTCTGTCCACCGTTTGCCCTATAGACGGCTTCTCTGCGCGCCAATAGTACCAACAACAAGTAGGTTTTATTGAATATCGGTGCGCATCGAAATATTACGGCGGCAGCTTTAGTCGTGGTTGGCGCGCAATGGGCGGGGTGGTGTCGGCGGAGACCTTGTTGTTGTCGCTGGTCGGAGCTCGAATGCTAGACGGCGCCGCAAGCAGCTGGGGGGCAACGAGAGACAGCGGGCGTAGGCAAGGAGAGACGGGTAACAATGAACGGATGCCGGATGCAGGAGGAGGCGCTTTAGGTGAGTGCGCAGTGATGAGGTCGAAATAAGGTACTGCAGGTATAGACTTTTGGCGCGCAGTGAAGTGAGGGTCGTTCCCGTGGTGCGCGAAAGCAGGTGCGGTCACGTCGTGCCTGCCATGTTTGGGCATGCGCTGTTTTGATGTTCTTCACCACGCGTTGAGATGGTTTCGTCCAATCAAGACGTGGATGGCCAGGCCGCATTGGGGTTAGCCGCAACGGTCCGCACGGTCGCCTCCAGGGCTGGCAGGAGCAGCTCAATGATACCCCACACCACCGTGACGGTCTGGTAGACAGAACCCCTCGTCCAATCCGTATGCTGTTACCCCGAAACTTGCGAGTGACACTACTGCACCCCTCAACCACATCATTTCCCGCTGTATCACTCCCGACGTGTACACTCTTGTGTCTCAAACGAACAATGGCGACTAAATCATCCCTCCAAGCTGCGGAGGACTTCCTGGCCTTTGTCAATGCCTCGCCTACTCGTATGTCGCGACTTGCTGTGTTTGTCGTGACAATCTGACCCCTATCAGCCTTTCATGCTGTACAATCAGCCAAGAAGCGGTTGGAGAGTGTTGGATTCAAGCAAATCAAAGTGAGTTGAAGCATCATGTCTTGTAGTTGCTGTGAGGCGAGCCACCCTGCATATTCGTCCCATGTCTGGGATGCGTCCCGAACAGCTTCGGACCAATATCTAGCTTCAAGTGCAGCCTGGTGCTAACCAATCTCCCAGGAGCGAGACTCATGGGCACCAACCCTTCAGCCTGGTGGCAAGTACTACCTCACCCGTAACACATCGTCCATCGTCGCTTTTGCCATCGGCAAGAAATGGAAGGCTGGAAACCCCATCGCCATGATCGGTGCCCATACCGACTCACCGTGTCTGCGCATCAAGCCTGTATCCAAACGACAAGGCGATGGCTTTATCCAAGTGGCCTGTGAGACATATGGTGGCGGTCTATGGCATACTTGGTTCGACCGCGATCTCAGTATCGCAGGTCGGGCTATGGTGCGGACAAAGGACGGTAGCATCGAGCAGCGCTTGGTCAAGGTGGAGCGGCCTATCCTGAGAATACCTACCCTGGCTATCCATCTTGATCGCCAGGAGAACTTTCAGTTCAACAAGGAAACCCAGCTCTTTCCGATCGCTGGCTTGGTCGCTGCAGAGTTGAACCGTCAAGGCAAGACTGAGGAATCCAAGGAAGATAGCAAAGAGTCCGACGGCCCATTCGAACCGCTTGCAGCACCGACCGCGAGACATCATCCGTACATTGTCGACATCATCGCCGAGGAAGCAGGTGCTGAAGCGAGTGATATTGTAGACTTTGAGATGGTCCTGTACGATACTCAGAAGTCCGTCATTGGCGGTCTGAACAACGAGCTCATCTTCTCGCCGCGTTTGGATAATCTGATGATGACATACTGCAGCGTTGAGGGAATCGTAAAGAGTCTTTCTTCGGAGTCGGCCTTGGACAGCGATTCCACTATTCGGCTGATCGCATGCTTCGACCACGAAGAGATTGGCTCCCAAACCGCACAGGGAGCGGACTCGAATCTGTTGCCTGCTGTCATTCGTCGTCTATCAGTTCTGCCAGCCTCTGAGAGCAGCTCCGACAAGTCTTACGACAAGGTTGAAGCTGACACTACTACCGCTTATGAGCAAACGCTATCCACGTCGTTCCTCATCTCCGCTGACATGGCGCACTCTGTACACCCCAACTATCCCGCCAAGTACGAGGCCCAACACAGACCTGAGATGAACAAGGGTACCGTTATCAAGATCAATGCGAATGCTCGTTATGCCACAAACTCGCCAGGTATCGTCTTGCTTCAAGAGGCTGCACGCCGCGCAAAGGCAGCTTCTTACAACCCGTCATCAACCAAGCAAGGCGTTCCTCTACAACTCTTTGTTGTTCGCAATGACTCGTCCTGTGGCAGCACTATCGGACCCATGCTGTCGGCAGCTATGGGTGCTCGTACACTCGACCTGGGCAACCCTCAGCTCAGCATGCACAGCATCCGCGAGACTGGTGGAGTCCATGATGTTGAGCACGCCATAAACTTGTTTGACAGTTTCTTCGAGAACTTTGAGGAGCTTGAGAAGACAATCATCGTCGACTGACTTGATCGATCAAATTTGTAGCGCAACGCTGCTTTTGGAAATACCTGTAGATGACGACCTTGTACGAGCAAATAAATGATAGAAAATGAATGAACAAATGAAGAAGATCTGAATGAGTACCTTGTGGCCCTTGGCGGCTCGGTTTCGTTCCGCGGCTGACCTCAGGGTCCTTGCCAAGCACCCCACCAACACCATCTTTTGGCCCTGTTTACCTTGACGTGAGTTGTGCAGGAAGCAGCTAAGGACCGAATTGAAGTCTCAAATCATGGCAAAGCCACGGTATCTGTCTGGCGACAAGGCCGCCATTGACAGCTTCTTGGATCAATTCGATGTACGTTCGCAAAGTACCCCGCCGTCGGATGATACTGACAACTTGCTCAAGGTCTTCCTCTTCGACTGCGATGGTATGCTCAAGCCATTCTCATGCCTGGAACAATGCTTTGCGCTGTTCACATATCTTGCGTAATATGGCCGACCGCTGATTGTAACAAAGAATAGGCGTCCTCTGGTCCGGCGATCATCTATTCGACAGGGTCCCTGAGACGATCAAGATGCTCAAGAGTAAAGGTACGCTGTTTACGAGTGTGCCTGTATCTTGAATCTCGAATCTTGGATATGATTGTTGATGCGTTGTAGGCAAGCAACTCGTCTTCGTTACCAACAACAGTACAAAGTCCCGAATGGACTACAAAAAGAAGTTTGATAAGCTGGGAATACCCGCTGAGGTCGTACGTAGTGAAGGACTGGGTGTGTTGGCAGTAACTGACAACACCATAGGACGAAGTGTTCGGTTCGTCCTACAGCGCAGCCGTCTACATTGCTCGCATCCTTAAACTCCCCGCGCCGAAGAACAAGGTGTTCGTGTTGGGCGAATCTGGCGTAGAACAAGAGCTCGAATCCGAAGGTGTACCTTATATTGGTGGAACTGATCCTGCCTACCGCCGCGATTTCCGACAACCAGAAGACTTTGAGGCTATTGCAAATGGTTCGCTTCTCGATCCTGACGTCGGCGTCGTTCTCACAGGATTGGATTTCCATTCCAACTACTTGAAGACGGCGATTGCTTTCCAGTATCTACAACGCGGAGCGATATACCTTGCGACAAACATCGACAGTACACTACCGTCTGCGCATACCCTGTTCCCCGGGGCTGGCGCATCTGGCGCAGGGCTGGAGAAGGCTATCGGAAGGTCACCATTGTCGTTGGGTAAACCCAGTCAGGCCATGATGGACGCAGTGGAGGGCAAGTTCAAGTTCGACCGGAGCAGAACCTGCATGGTCGGAGACAGGCTGAACACTGATATTCAATTCGGTATCGATGGCAAGCTGGGAGGCACGTTAGCGGTATTGACTGGCGTAAGCAAGAAAGAGGATTTCTTGGCCGAAGGTGCCACGACAGTTCCGACAGCATATGTCAACGCTTTGAGTGACTTGATGGGCTGAGGAATGATATACGCGGCTAGAGTTGTGTGAGAAGTAAAGACTATGCGTATAGATGGATCCAACTATAGAACAAATAGATTAAGCCAAAATCAAGTGGCCTTGCATACCCGATTTAGTGTAGTTGTCCAAGCCAGGATCGCACCATGGTATCTGGGGTATGACGGACCTCGCAGGGTACGCGTATGCTCAACAAGGCTAGCGCTATTCGACGCGTCCACGCTCACGCGCCTGCCACTTTAACACGCCGCATCACCGAACTTGTCAAAAACAGTAACGGCAACAGCAAGGCGGCAAAACACCAGCGACACCATGATCCGCCACGACTACTCCCGAGTTGACCCCAAGCGCCGCGCCAATCTCGACTACAAGAAGCGGCAATTCGCCAAAGCAGAATTCCAGCAACAAACCTATGAACACCGCCTCAATTTCTACGTGCTGCCACCAACGGCTGAGATTACGCTTGAGGAGTTTGAGACATGGGCAATCAATCGATTAAAGGTTCTTTCCGAACTCGAAGCCTGCAGTTTCCGCAACAAAGGCCCCGAAGAAACCGCCGAATACATGAAGAGCATACTAGACAAGTATTTACCGTTGCGATCAGCTTCGACCAGAAGTCAAAAACTACAGGAAGAGAGGAAGAGAGACCATTATTCGCACTTCATACTACGACTAGCATTTTCGTCAACAGAAGACCTCCGCCGGCGGTTTTCACGATTGGAAACTATGCTGTTCACGCTACGATTCAAGGACGACGATCTACGGGAACGACAGGACTTTGTACGGACTCTCAATCTAGAGTGGGAGGAGGTCAAGGACGATGAGAAGCGAGAGCTGAAAGACGAACTGCATGCGGCGAGTGGCATCAAAAAGACTGAGGACCAGGAGTGGTTCAAGGTTGATTGGGAAAGGGTTCCTGAACTTGTTGGGCAAAGAAAGGTTCTGCTCAAGAGGGGGAAGGCCTATGTACCACAGCGGGAGCAGATGAGTCTAGTAGTTGCCGAGTTTACCAAGAAGCTCGACGAGGCGCTGGAGGTACGTTATTTGATACCTGCACCTTGTAGTCAATTACTAACAAGATGGCCAGCTAACAGCACGCGCACTTCCCCGCCTCGACGAAGACGATCGCCTCGCACCCATCCTTGCCCACCTTTCACAATCCTTCACAGCTCCCGACGCCGCCTACTCCACCTCGGACGCCAACATTGACGGTCTCTCTACCATAACCGCAAACAGCATCGACATGCTCTCGCAAAACTTCCCTCTCTGCATGCGCAACCTTCACATAACATTACGGGAGAACTCGCACCTGAAGCACTACGGCCGTCTGCAATACACCCTCTTCCTCAAAGGCATCGGTCTCACCCTAGACGAATGCATCGTCTTCTGGCGCCGCAGCTTCAAGCTCATCACCGACGAGAAATTTCAAAAGGAATACAAATACAACATTCGTCACGCATACGGAGACGTGGGCGGTGACGTAAACCGTCGTGGCCGCGGATACACGCCGTATTCGTGTCAGAAATTACTTACAGAGCCACTTCCCGGGCCGGGCCAATCCCACGGCTGCCCTTACCGCACATTCCAGTCGGATAACCTCATCACAATGCTGCAGCGTGTCGGTGTCAACGATAGAGATGTACTCAAGACGGTCAAGGATGATGTGACCAAGCAGAGGTATCACGTAGCATGTAATAGGGTGTTTGAGTGGAGTCATAAGAAGGAGATCAAGAAGGTTAAAGATGATGGAAGCTGGAGTAATAATGACTTGGATACCATTGTGCATCCAAATACGTATTTTAAGAGAAGTTGGCTGTTGAAGCATCTGGGTGAGGGAAATGCAGGGATTGTGGGGGGTGGGGAGAGGATGGAGGAGTAGGATTGTAGTTTATAATGACTGTTTTGCTCGTAGCATCTTTTTTTTTGATTGGCATACGATGCGGTTATGATAGGCTGTCTAGAAATGACAATAATTCGTATTTCTTTCCAACTGACTGGATATCTTGCGATAGATTCAAATTAATCGGGACTCTGGAGCGGCCAAACAGGAGCGCCCGAGTGTCATAAAACACTAGACATATTAGTGTAAATGTAAAAAAGCCACTGTAGTCGCCAGACACGTCCATTGGGCGCTTACCCACACTGTTCAGTATTTTATAACACCTAGGTGGGAGGACCAGCTGTAACTCAAGAAATGGTGTTGGCGATGATGTCATCAAACACCTTCGGGTCAACCAGATTTGTCTATACCGCGAATGCGACCACCAACCCGGCATGAAACATCGGGGCTGACGGCTGGCGCTAAGCCAGTATAGGACAAAACGTCTCTCTTGTCCTTGGTATTCGCGGAACCGTGGTGAAAATTTGTGTCTTCATTCTTGTGGACTGCCTCTAATTCAACACATCCAGATTTACACACGTTTTACTCAAGCTACGATGGGTGCTAATTCTATAACCATCATCTTTTCCCCCTACCATGTTGGCCTTCGTGACCACCGTGTTGGTGACGGCCCTAACCGCATTCGAGCCCTGGGGGTCATTCAAGAGCTGGAAAAACTGGGTGTGACAGTACACGTTCACGAGTTGCTCCCAGTTGATGATCATGAAGGTGAGATAGGTCGCAGCTTTGAGCTACTCCGGCGGACGTCCAAGGCGGTAACAGAGGTGTGCGCCAAGCAATCTTTCCCTCTTGTTCTCTCCGGAAATTGCATGGCAAGCGCTGGAGTCGCCTGTGGGCTGGGCCTTGAGAATCTTGGCTGGATCTACTTTGACGCGCACGACGATATGGAAACACCCTCAACGAACATAAACGGATACTTGGATGCCATGGGTCTGTCAATGCTGGCGGGCGAAAGCTTCCATCGTTTGGCAAACACGATTCCTGGATACGCTCCGCACAAGTACGACAAAATGATTTACTGCGGCCTTCGCGATATCGAGGACAGCTCGAAAGATATTGTGCGAAAGGCTGGAGCGGAGGTTATCTGGGGCGAACCAGGCAGACATGTCGACTTTGCGAGTAAGGTCACGGAAGCTCTTAGTGCGAAGGACTATTCGCCCGCTTTGGTCCATCTTGACCTTGATGTCTTGGATGAGAGCATTGGAAAGGTTAATGGTTACGAGAGCCCAGGAGGCTTGCAAGAAGATGACTTGATGAAGTGTATGGATCTCGTTCCACAGAAAGCTACTCCGACATCTCTTACAGTCTGTTCGTTCAATCCTAACTTGGGAGATGGCGATAAAGTTGCTACGATTGGTGTAAAGGCTATCGTTACCTTTGTCAAATCGCTTCTAAAAACTGAAGCTTTAGTAACAAAGTAGTGGGCTTTAAATATTTTCATGACATATGGAGAGGTAATGAAAGGAAAGTATTCATAGCCTATAGTTTGATCGTTCGTTCTGACTCCTCCCCTGGAGCCTACATCGCAAGGCTAGGCTATTGACCCTCTACATCTCCATGATGCGAGTCTCCTCTCTTACCTCATTGCTACCCTTGCTCATGCTGCTTTCCACTTAAGATTGCTCTGACGTCTCAGCTATTACAAATTCTGTTAGCACAGTCAGCACACAAGGTAATGCTACTTACTCCGTTGAGGAAACTTCCCGAGAGCATCCCAATCCTCATTGATGTAATGTTGACAAGCTATCTGGAACTGGCCCAAGCGGATGCGGATGGCGTGTTCGACTCCATCATCATCCTTGTATACCATGCGGTCTGGCTCTCTTGTACTCAAAACAGGGCCTCGCGATTGTTCATCGGCTAAAGGCACGGTCTTCTCTAGAGGCTGTTGTAGGGTTGAATGCCCTTGTTCAGACATGTTGGAGCGACTCAGATAATCTTCGTCTTTGTGATGTAATTAGAAGCCGTGGATAAGAGTCTGGAGTTTGATTGCTGTAAGTGAAGATTCCACGTTCGCGGAAGTCTTACATCTTGTAGGAAAGCCACGTCATTAGGTATTCGAAGTGGCGAAAATTGACCCTATGATCTCATATCTGCAGCCAAGGGAAGTGCTCGATTGCAGCAGCCTAGCAGAGGACGTGTGAAAGAGTAACATCTAACCAATCGTTTTGGCTATACCCCGCATGCCTTTATGAAGTTAGCTTGTGTATTTTACTCCTACTACACCCTTCCACATACGACGGAACGTACTAGCGCTCCCTATTCAGAATTTCTAAGCTTAATTTATATATAAAATAGAGCTTTTCGTTCCACAAAAGCTTTCTTATATATAGGTAAATACAGCTAAGACCTATATCATTTTACTAAAGAAATACGGAATAAAACGCTTTAAAGTCTTATAACTTAATACTACAAAATAATAGAAGAATATGGAAAAAGAGAGAGAGAGAGAAAGAGATAAATGCGGGCTTTCGAATAATATATGTAAAGGGGTAGTTTTTTAGGTGTAATATCGCGTTATTTTGCATTATAACTTCCTATAGACCCACGTCATGTTCCGTCGTATGTGACGAGACGCAGTATGTTGTGACATTCATCCTACACACTTACGCCTTGCAGCTGCTCTTTCATGTCGATGGATGCGGATGCGCTAACTGTGCTTACTTCCAAAGTTGGATTGTTGCGCAGCTGCTCCTACAGGATCGAGACATTTTAGCCGCGGCCTTCCAGTTTTGGAAAAACAGTCCCTTAATTGTCTGTCATTTACTCTTGAGCTTGCAGCCTAAAGATAACGTTGCAGAACAGGTAGGCCAAGCCAAAGTGCCCTTACGCAGTGCAGTGTATTAGACGGGGTTTTATTCTACTAAGACCAGAATTGTCGGATCGTGAGTATCGGTAGAGACGTCGGCTGCTTGACACTTCGGCCCGACTTCGGCCCACCTTGCGCAGAGCTTAGGTGTACCTTCGTACCAGCTATGTTCGTAGAGAATCAATACGAATACCAATACCAGTCACCAGAAGAACCTCGTTGTTGTTATTCACCCGTACGATCGTACAAGGCCTACCAACAAGAATCGATATTCCAAGTCTACAACTACGCCTTGAAATTATCCAAGGGAAACCCATCCGCCATGGCCTGGTAGCCTGCAACATTCGGATGCAATCCATCTCCGCTATCAAACTTCCGATCCAACACGCTCACCTGTCCCTTCTTTGCCACCATCCCCGCAAAATCAACAACGAAATCATAACTCCCATTCCCCTTCGCCAACACCCACTCGTTCACCCTCAGCCTCGTCTTCTCCTTCTCCGCCCCGGCGTACCCAGCATTGTTCCCAAACGGCGTGATGGTCGCGCCAATCGTCTTGAAACCTGCCTTCTTCGCATCAGTTGCTATCTGCGTAAAGGCTGCGATGAGCCGATCCCCGATAAGTTTCTGTGCCGATACGCTGTTGGCGGCGGGTCCGATGTCGTTTACGCCTTCGAAGATCATGATGTATTTCGCGCCAGGCTGGAGGAGGGCGTCGCGCATGTAGCGGGTTAGGAGGGGTGGGCCTAAACCACCCTGTAAGACTGCATTGCCACCGGCGGCTTCGTTGTTGATGGCGATGTTTGTGTAATTTTTTCTTTGCATGCGAGAGCAGAGAAGGTCGGGCCAGCGGTTGTTTTTGTCGTTTTCCGAGCCTCTTCCGTCGGTTATACTGTCTCCGAGGGTAATGAGCGAGTTGGTGGCTGTCGGAACGAGGGCTTGTACGGCGCTGATAAAGTACCAGTGTACAGATGCTGTACCTGAGAAACTTGTAGCGTTTACTTTGTTTCCGCTCACTAGCCAGCTCGTCGTTCTACTCCCTGGGTGGCCGGTGATACTGTTCCCACTTTGGCCTTGCTGGCTGTACAAACTGACCGTGATCACGCTTTGTGGCTTGACTTGGAAGGCAATTTCGTCACTGGTTACGACTTGCCCTTTGAGTATCGTGAAGCTGCTTTTACCGCCCACGGTTATTGCTGCCAGAGGTGAAGCTTGAATACCGCTTACGCCTGCAGCACCGCCTGTGGGGACACCTACGGAGCCAGCGGTAATGGGCAGATCGGAGCCGCCGAAAGTATTCGATATTGTGATTTTGATCTTGGGGGCACCGACGGAGATTTGAAAAGTTTGACGGAGCGTTGCGTCCCGTAGAACACTTCCTGAGCTCTGTGATAATTTCAGTCAGCTTCGCATATCAACACAATGAAATAAATAGTTCGTACAAATGGTGCAGGCGGCAGATTGTCTCTTTCTACTAACTGTGGCATGCTGGTCCAGGTGTTGATCCAATGCGAGCCATCTTGTCGCTTTGCGATTTCTTCAATCGCGCGACTGCTAGCTAGTGGAGACAATAATGAGAGTGAGAGGAATGCTACAGAAAATATAGATGTAAGAAACATGGCGAATGAAGCTCAATGGCGGAGAAAGGTGTCTCGACGTGAATTAAGTAGTTCCATTATGGGCAGTGAGTATTTTTTGAACGTTGTGTTTGTTATATTAAAATGAGCGTTTCATACAGATGATGGGGAGGAGCTACTGGCGGACGGATATTGCAACTAAATTGACGATCACCAAATAACCAGTGCCTCTTCGTTACAGCATAATAGCCGTTAGTGCTGCACAGGCTCTGTTTAATTGGCGGACAGACTAGGTTTGAAGGTATTCAAATGTTAGATAACCTGTTAGAGGAAAGCGATGATGGGGGTGCGGAAATTACTTCGAGGTGTTGCAAGTTGCACATGTAGTGAAGTGTGCATCTGTAGCCTTTTCCATCATTCGTTTGATTCCAAGAGAAAATCTTACAGTATTCTTATAGATGGAAGTTTTGATGTTTTGATTATTGTATCAGCGACAAGTGGTGTGAAGGACAAATCCTGGCCATTGGTGTCTCCTCGCCCCTACCCAAATGCTGTGCGCGCAGTTACGACATGATTATCGCATGGAAAATTGGTGGGCAAGGGCCACATAAGCTCAATCCAATGGTTGATGAGCTTTAGTTTGTTCAACCCAATGCGCGTCTGGTACGATCTATCCGGGTGTAACATGTTCAGCCTTAGTCATTGGGGTAGACTCCGCAACAATCAATTCAATCCGGTCACTCTCCTAGACCCACTTACCTATCTAGGTAGGGCTTAAACTCCTATAGGTAACTACTAGGCTTAAAGCGGTAATCAATCAATCCAATCTGAACCTTCTAGGACCCACTTAATTGATTGTTGCGGACTGTGTATTGGGGTTATAAAGGACCCAGCGTTCCTTGCGACATCTTACAAAGCGCGATCAAATGGAAGATATCCGCACGGAAAGACAGTAGTAAGCACTCGTGGTGTGAGGGTCTTGCTACCTAGGTAGACATGCGCCTGCCGAAGGCTTCCAGGGTTGAGTATTCCCGGATACTACGGCAATAACGAACATATCCACACAACCGCAGGCCCTCTTCTTCTCGAAGCTACCTCTCGAACTGCGAAGACTCATATAATCGCATGGCTTTTGCAACAGTAGTGGTGAGCTCAAGCTTCAAGTTGCCCAGGTGCTAAAGACAAAGTTGGAGATAGCCATCCAAAGCCATTTGAATTGAGCTGCCCACCAGCACAGCAATTGTTTGGTTTTCTAAGCTCGTGCAAACTGTCGTATGTACAAGTTTACACTACCTAGGACGAGTGTTTACTAAGTGTGGTCAGACATGTCGATACCGTGCACCTGATATCCCGATCAAACACTTTCCTTTTCCCAGATATTACAAAATTCTTTTGCTTCTAACGTCTGCTTCCCTCACACCACTTTTCACACTCTGTCCAACACAGTCCGCAACAATCAATTAAGTGGGTCCTAGAAGGTTCAGATTGGATTGATTGATTACCGCTTTAAGCCTAGTAGTTACCTATAGGAGTTTAAGCCCTACCTAGATAGGTAAGTGGGTCTAGGAGAGTGACCGGATTGAATTGATTGTTGCGGAGTCTACTGTCCAATCGATACACCTGAAATGATCACGTCTGGCGAGGGAAGTACTTTCTGGGAGGGGTTCCTCTATATAATCTTGAGGCGTGAAGTAGATGCTCGAAGCGAATCGCAGCAGAAATGGAGGGATTGAAGCACGTCCAGGTCGACATAGCATTAGGGGTACCTGACTTTGAGGAAGAATTCTCTACCGCGTTAGTGGATGTTGCTCAAAGAGTGAGAAAGGAAGTCAGAGTAGCTTGGAAGAATGGAGAGAAAGAGCGGCCCTTTAACGTGAGAACGCGGAGGGGTTGTTTTAGATAGAAACAGGAGAATGGCATCTTTGAAGAATCTAAATCATGTGTGCGCAGCAGTCTACCTAGGTAGGGTATGTGATAAAACAAGGACCGCAGTTAACGTATAATGGGAGGAGCAAAGTATTCCGGCTAAGAGATTGATTGAGTAGGACACCTGGTATCAGACCCACGAAGGAATCGAGGTCGCACTGAGCAGACTCCGCAACAATCAAATCAATCAATCTTAAGGTTGTCGATTGGTTTGATTAGCTTGCGGCGACGCTGCTGATTGATTGCGGATTGATTGTTAGGGTTTTTGAGCAGATTGATTGCGATTGATTGGTTGATTGGCTGATTGATGCTAAGAAGTAGTATACAGGGGGTTATGGTGTTGTACTCCAGCCTTCTATATCGTACTGTTGTACAATCTCCTCATCTTTGACGTCACTCCACTTATCTTCATCATCACCGTTGTTGTACAAGCCGTCAAAGCCAGCTCGTCTCCACGAACGTACAAGCTGAAGGGCAGCAAGTAACTCGCTGCCAAGAGCTCGCCGGCGCGGCTCAAGTAAATCGCCAAGCTCGCTAAAGAGCCTCTCGCAGTCGCAACTAGATGCTGGTATCGTGAGTATATCAATCGCAAACTGGCTTAAACACGGGTATTTTGAGCGTAATTGAATCCAGTACTTGACTGGGTGGCCATCGCTAAGATACTGTTCGCTTGTCCACTCTGGCTCTTGAGTTCTCCAGCGCTCGTACTCATCGTCGTGGGCAGCCTCTACCTGAGCCTTGTTGCGCCGTACGAGGGCGCCAATCACATCATCTATTCCTCTATGCCTTGGTTTTGCAGTTGTTTGAGATAGAGGACGTGTACGTTGAGGCTTATACGACTGCCAGAGCTGCAGGAAGCCAGCGTTGGCTGATGTTAGCCATTCTGGCTTATCCACCCAGCTGTTCTCGCAGTAGTATTTGTAGTATGGATGGAGGCAGGTAGCAGCGTAGTATGCTGGCGATCGATCGAGCTTGTTGTAGTAATCGTTGGCCTTACTCCAGGCGGCGCGGAGGTTAACAAAGAGGTGATCTTCAGGCGCATCAGGTGGGTTGAAGTCAACTTGCTCGTACGAGCGCGTACGGGCTTCGAGCGCGCCAAGTACGTATTCAAATACAGGAATAGTCTCATATATAGCGCCGTATTTGCCTGCCTTTCCGCGACCCTCAAGCTTCTCCGTAGCAAGCTTAAGCGGCTCTAGGCAGTCCTGATACTCTGTTATCACCGCCCAATCAGCAGCTGTAAGTCCTGTTGATCTCATCCAACTAGGTGCTTCAGGGAGTTTATTGCCACGTTGACAAGCGCGGCGATCTTCAAGGGAGAGTGCGTTAATGTAGTGCTCAGCGTAAGAGTTGTATGCTGCCTGGAGTTGAGTTGCGCGTTTGAAGGCAGCGTAGTAAGAGTTCCAGCGTGTAACAACAGGCTTCACAGGCTCAAGTACGTGGAGGCGCTCTCTAGCTGGCAACTCGGCGTTGGCGGCGGTTTGGAAGCTTCGGAAAATTTCGTGTTGTTGAGGCGTTTTTATATGGTTGATAACGTCGATAAGTACACCTAAGGGCCCTTCTTGACGCCACTCCTGCATGTACACCTCCTCTGTTTGGAGCTGCTCGTCGTTGTTGTTGTTGTACGCCTCTTGATTGCTGCCAAAGATAATTGCCTGGCCAATAAGGTTAAGCGTGTGAGGGCCGCAGCGGAGGCGTCGGTGAGCAGCGTTGAAGTCGTACGCGTGGGCGAGCGAGGAGACTGCAGTATCGTTGTTTGCAGCATTGTCGAGGACGAAGTAGCCGAGTTTATCACTCCCAATACTGTATTCTTGGAGCGTCTTTTTAATTGTATCAGCGATAGCATCACCAGTATGAGAGCCTGCGAGATGTGGGAGGGCGATGGGGAGATCTTGTATCACTCCAGAGGCGTTAGCAAAGTGTGCAACGACTCTAAAGAATCCACGCTTGCCACCCTTTGTCGTCCAACCATCAAAGCTTATGTGGATCTTGCTTGCAGCTTCTGACAGAGCGCAGACAATCTGTGGCTGCATATATTGGAAGAGGCGCATTGCGTAGGTAGCTACACTGCGAGGACTTACCCACAAAGCTGCCTCTGCCTCTGGGTTTGCAAGGCTAATCATCTCGCGAAAGGACGGCCTTGCAAGTAGCTCCATTGGCAAGTTGTTATCAAGAAGGCAGAACACTGCAACTTCACGAAACTGCTGGATGTTGAAGTTGCCCATCGCGTTGGCAGCCTCTTGAGAGACTGCAACACCAGTCTCCAGCGTCTGTCGTAGAGAGAGTTGCTGCCCTGTTCTTCGAGGCTTCAGGCCGTCTTTTGTAAAGCCATGGCCTCGTTTCTGAAGGCCAAGATGAGCTGCAGCTGAGGAGGTGGCCTTTGATACGTCAAAAACTCCACTGCCGCCAGTGTCAATGACCTTGTGGATGTGGCAGTATTTGCATACAAACCACACTCGATTCTGATCGTAGAGCTCAACAACGCGATATCCATGTTGAAAGATCCAACTCTTGACGCGCCGCCCAGTTGTAAGAGGCTTCATGAACCGAGGGAGGCGATCCCAGTTAATGCCGTCAAAGTTATCGCCATTATCAGGCTCTGTATCAACACTAGCCTCTGTTGTTGCTGCTGTACCAGCCTGGCTGCCCTCAGCCGCACCCTCCTCCTCTGTTTGCGACTCGAAAAATTGCGACTCAAACGTTGTGGCCTGGCTTACGGCGGCGCCAAGGGTTTCCTGAGGCGACAGCGATCGCTGAGATAGGACAGAGGGCCTTGATAGGCGCGCCCGTTTGGCGGCGGCGGCGGCGGCAGCAGTATTGGTGGGAACTCGAGAGCGTTTGGCCATCGTGGGCGATACTAAACACTAAAGAAAAATGTCTGTATAGGTAGCTAGGCAACTAGTGTTGTGTGTAAGGGATTATTAGGGAACTGAGTGAGCGAAATCGTTGTTGTATTAAGAACAGCGAAGGACTAGCTATATAGGTGCGGGGTGAAGCCTAGAAGAGGCTAGCCCCTAAGCAGAAGGAGCTAGTCCTATAAGAGGAGAGCTAGCTGGTGAGAAGTGAATGCATAGAGACTGGCTTGCCCGGCCGACAGGGATCACAAGCTAAGCGAG